TAGGTTATATGACTTAGATGAGATTTGATTATAGTTCAACAATACTGTTATTTTTAATTAGCGGGTCTGTTAACAGAAAATTAATCCCGTTAACATTGTCTGTTAACTCACTTAACGTCATGCCTAATATGGTCAAGTCAATGAAAGTTTGGTGTTTATTTGTAAAGTCAACATAAGTTTAATATTTATTTGGAAAGTCAACATAAGTTTGATATTTATTTCGTTTCGTCGTGAGTTGAGGATTTAAATCAACGTTTTGAATAAGTTGGGGATTTTAATGACATTTTTCCCTTTTTTTTAATGTTAAAAGAAAGTATTTAAAATTTTCCCTATTATTTTTTATTACTAGCTAGTTAACCTTGAAATCATCTGAGAGGATGAATATATATATATATATATATATATATATATATATATATATATATTAATTATAACGCATTATTTTATTCTCAGTATCAAAAAATTTAAATTAAAATGGATAAAATTAATTTTGTTTTAATAGTCTTATTTTTATTTTTTATATGTTCTCTTTTATGTTAACACTATCTTTTACCAATCAAAACTATAGCACTATTTTGGCGCACTTCTGTTTTTACCATTTTTATTGTCAATTCTAAGTATATTGATATCTCTTATTGCTATCTTTTTATTACTGAAAAACTTGTACCGTTTATGTTAATTGTCGAACGGAGAAAAAGTATGTGCAATGTTTTTCAAAATATTTTTATTAGCAAACGGTATAATTTTTAATTAAATCATTTGTAATGGTCTAGTAGTTATTCAATCATATGATAATATAATAATCATGTTTTTAAATACAATTCTTAGCTTGTTATATACATGTTTAATTAATTATTTTCATATTTATTAATTTTCCCAATACTATAGAGATATTAATAATTTGGAATAGTTGACAAAATAAAATAATAGTTTATATAGGATATTCTTAATTTAGTATCTAATATAATAATACTGGATTTTTTACTAAATAAAATTCTGTATAAATAGTAAACATTAATAATTACATATATCAAAATTTAGAAGAAAAAAAATTACATGTTATCATATTGGGAGAATAGTCATATTTCCATTGTTATCACTGATTTTATTCCAATTGTGTAGTCTAAGATATCTGAAGGATGCATGAATCTGTATATATTTCATTGGGTGCAATATACTTTCTTTTTATTTACACAATAAAAAAATAAATTTAATCAACAATAAGAATGGTTATATAAAGAATTGTTGATTTCTGTTATATATATAAAGAAGAATTGTTGGTTTCTCTTCTTTGTCTCAACAGAAAAGGGAAATTGATATTTAAATTTTACTTCAGTGGACCTACTTAGATATATTACCTTTGCTTGTTTGCGAGTGTGAGTGTAAATGTGAGTGTGTGTATGTGTATATATATATAGAGGTATATAGATAGACCAAGAAGAAAACAACATAAGAGATACTCAATTATCAATAAAGGATCTTAATCTAATTCAAAGACAATGCTGGTCTTATCCATCTTCTTGTCGTTGGGATTGTTCTTTCTCTCTATTTTGATTCTTTATGTTTCAATTTCTAAGGAAAATGAAACAAAAGATAATCACTCATCACTAACTGGCAGCATGGGATGGCCTTTCGTTGGAGAAACTATTTCTTTCTTCAAACCTCATAGATCAGACTCCATCGGCACATTCTTGCAACAACGTGTTTCACGGTAATAATTAATTAATTAACCTGTTTTGTTTTTTTCTTTATTCTTTTTGTTGTTGTTAAAATGCGAAAATCTAAATTTAGACAACGTTTTACAACCCTTCATGGGAACACAGTATTCAGAAAACAATTGAACCAAATTGGCTTTAACCAAAAAACCTATTAGCCACTTAATGACTAAACGCCAATTAAGTAAACCCTTTCAGGTATGGGAAAGTGTTCAAATCAAATATATGTGGTGGAAAAGCGATAGTCTCATGTGACCAAGAACTCAACATGTTCATACTTCAAAACGAAGGGAAGTTATTTACTTCGGATTATCCGAAAGCGATGCATGACATTCTCGGCAAATATTCCCTCCTATTAGCCACCGGAGAAATTCACAGGAAACTAAAAAACGTTATTATTAGCTTCATCAATCTCACAAAGTCGAAACCCGACTTTCTTCACTGCGCAGAGACCCTCTCTATCTCGATACTAAAGTCATGGAAAAATTGCCGAGAAGTCGAATTCCATAAAGAAGTTAAAATGGTAATTAACTAATCATTGAATCCTTATAAAACTTGCTAGTTAATACAGTCGATCTTGTTCTAATTTTGATATCTTTGTTGCGGTTGAATCATACAGTATACTCTCAGTGTTATGGTAAACCAACTCTTGAGCATCAAGCCAGAAGACCCAGCAAGACTTTATGTGTTGCAAGATTTTTTATCTTATATGAAAGGGTTTATCTCCTTACCTATACCGCTTCCAGGAACGGGTTATACAAACGCAATTAAGGTTAGATCCTATCATGATACATCAAACTCAATTATAGTTTTGTTTTTTTCTTGTAATTTTACATTAAAAATTTAGCCACTTTATAAGAAAAAACAATTGGATTCTAGGGTTTTTGCAGTTCTGGTAGGCTTTATCATAAGGTTTACATGTAGACACATTTATATATGCAAATTAAATTCATTAAATATACATACGTTATCCTTATAAGTTTTAAATTTCAATGTTTGCCAGGCTAGGAAGAGATTGTCGGCGAGGGTTATGGGGATGATAAAACAAAGAGAGCATGAAGAAGAAGACATGAAGAATGCCATAAGAGAAGAAGATTTTCTAGATGCGATAATATCAAATGAAGATCTAAATTATGAAGAGAAAGTTAGCATTGTGTTGGACATTTTGCTTGGAGGCTTTGAAACAAGTGCTACTTCTCTTTCCTTAGTCGTCTATTTTCTAGCAAAATCACCAAATCTTCTTCACAAACTCAAGGTATCCTCTCTCTCTCTTCTCATTATCTTGTGCATGTATACACATCCGTATATATGTTAATCTATGTGAACGTATACAGGAAGAACATGAAGCCATTAGAGCCAAGAAAGGAGATGGGGAACTTTTGAATTGGGATGATTATCAGAAAATGGAATTCACTCAATGTGTATGGTTCATAAAACCTATACCATTTTATTTGCTATTTTTTTCGCAAATTTGTTTTGGTAACCAAGTTTTTTTCTTTCTAAAATATATATTGATACTACTTTAAAATCATATAACATGTTCTTTTACATCATGAAATTATTTGGACGGAATTTACAGGTGATGTCTGAGGCACTACGATGTGGAAACATTGTCAAGACAGTACACAGAAAAGCTACCCATGATATTGAATTCAAAGGTTAACAATAATCTGGATCATCTTATTCATAACTTTTTTTTTACTAATTAATTGTAGAAATCAAGTGTATGGTTGGTTTGCAGAATATGTGATTCCAAAGGGATGGAAGGTGTTTCCAATCTTCACAGCAGTACATCTTGATCCATCTCTTCATGAAAATCCTTTTGAATTTAATCCCATGAGATGGACCGTAAGTAAAACATTCTAAAGCAGATAACATTCAAATGGTAACCAAAGAAAAAAAAGTGAAAAGCGAAACTAATTTTGTTTTATTTTTACTAAAATAAATAGGATAAGGCTAAGATGAACAAGAAAACGACGGCGTTTGGAGGAGGAGTAAGGGTATGTCCTGGTGGTGAACTTGGCAAACTCCAAATTGCTTTCTTCCTTCATCATCTTGTCCTCTCTTATAGGTTTGTCTAATCACTCTCTTTAGTTGACTAATTTTAATTAATGGACTCTGCCTTATCCGACATAATTATCTATTAAATTTTGGGTTAAACTTTTGGTTGGTTTGATGTTTAAATCTTTTTTGTTTTCTCTCATGTTTCAGTTATTTATACTGATGGACACATCTATTTGAAAATATATGTGTTTTATCATGTTTTAATGTTCAATATAGCTAAGAAATTTATTTATAATGGTAGGTGGAAAATAAAGTCAGATGAAATACCAATAGCACATCCTTACGTGGAGTTTAAGAGAGGCATGCTTTTGGAGATAGAGCCAACAAGTTAAATCCTTGAAGATTAGCTGTTTTAATAAGGAATATAATCCATCTTAGATGGAAATTTTATTTAACTTTGAATAAATGTAATGTCCAACATAATACTCCATTCCCAAATCTTAAGTACCATCTCTAGTCATAGAGTTGTTTATCAATGTTTTGAAATTAAAATGAGTATTTGCCTTTTGATATGGTATATTTATATTTTGTTGCTCTAAAAATTATCTAAATTAATATTTCGAGTTTTTAAATTATATATCCGCGTTCAAATATCTAATGTTACTACTTACTAAGAGCATCATTAACGGTATATCCAAGTAGGAGGTCCAAGTCATTTAGATCTAAAAAATAAATCAAAAAGGCCCAAAAACAATGGACTCGAATCCAAAATTGGATTTTTAGACTTGTATTCCGTGTTCAAAAAATCGCTAGGCGCTAGTCGGGCGGTGAGGGTGCGCCTAGCGCCTAACAAGAAAATCGGGGATTACACGGGGATTAATCGGGGATTAGTTTTAAGGCTATTTAATATTTTAAAAACATATTAATCAATTATAATTAAGAAATTTATATAATATTGTTTTTAAAATTGTATTAAAAACATGAAAACAAGATTTTAATTTCAAATTTATGATTTTTATACAAATTACGAACATAAGTAGGACGTTTTGAATTTTAGATGAAAAAAAAAGTAAAAAAAAAAAAAAAATTGGGCTAGGCGCCGTCTAGGCGGGCTAGGCGGTCTAGGCGGACAAAAAATCGGATCTCCGATTTTTCTCACCGATTTGGACAAAATTGCCGCGGTGCTCCTCTGTTCAGCGCCTAGGCGGCTAGGCGGCCGATTTTTAGAACAGGGCTTGTATTTAGATCCCTACGTATCGCAATATTACTGGTGGATGTATTTTGTATTAGATAGATTTTTTTTTTCTCCCGTCTTTTTTTTTTTCGTGAAAACTCAACTTTTTTGTCTCGTTTTTTTTCTTCCTCGATCCAGCCATCTGTCCGACGAAATCGGAAGCAAACGGAGGACGAAGATTGAGCTCGGACTCCTTGATCCGGCGTGACATTCATCTCCACCGACGCTGGTCAATTGGCGAGTTTGATGAAGCAAATCGGCGGTTTTAGGGTTCTTTGTTCTAAGCTAAATTGGGGTTAATTGAAGGAGATTGTTGCTGCCGTCGTTTGTGGATTCAAATTTGCCAGGAAGAAATTCACTCTGAAGTAAGTGGTATAATGATTTCATATCTCTTGGAATATTTGCTAATAAAGTTAGAAGATTTGGTTATGTGCTTGAAATTGTTCACTCGATTACTAGTCTGTTTTGATCCGAGACTTGTAATTGTTCACTCGATCACTCTTTACTGCAAAATCATTGATAAAAGATTGAATCTTTTGATTTTGAAATTGATTTATGGATATATCTTACATAAAGTTCGTAGCCTTTTAGAAGATTGAATCCTATCGTTGATGATAGTATCGATGAACTTTGTTGGGTTCTTGAGATTTGCTTCATCAAGCTTTAATACTATTGAAATTGCTTCAACAAGTACTGTTGTGTTCCTGAGATTTGGTATAGGTTTACTTCGTCACGTTTGATTCTTTTGAAATTGAATTTGATTTGGGAGTTCAGATTTGACACAAGGAGACATATTTGGTCACTCTATATACTATAGTTACCAGAGATCTTATTAGTGAAAGAGATTGTTGCAATAGTCAGTGTTTATGAATTGTTGCAATCTTGTTATGATTAAGATAATGGTGGATTAATTCTTTTTCGGTGTTGTATTCCTCTTGCAGCACACTATCCGTTGATCATGAAGGCGCTCCCTTTGGGTAATCTTGTTTTCCATGAATCATATCACAATGTGTTTTCTTGGTCTTTGTGATTCTACATTTCAAATTTCAGACTTGTCTCTCTTTGCAGGAATGTTGTATCGTTTAGTGATGGTTTACCCGAGAAAGGCAACGGTATACCATACTTTTACTTAACAACTCTTCATCCAACCGCAAGAAACGCACTAAAAGACCAGAGAGCTTCACTCGCAATCAGTGACTAATACATTCTTGTGCATTTGGTTTCATTTTATTGTATCTTATACTTCATTTTATTCTCTTTTGCAGACTCTTATTGAAAATGGACTCAGAGAAAGAGTCATTTTAAGAGTTGATGGAGGCTTAAAGAGTGGTGTTGATGTTCTAATGGCTACAGCTATGGGTGCTGATGAATACGGATTTGGTTTCTTGGCAATGATTGCTACTGGTTGTCTTATGGCTCGTATTTGCCACACTAATAATTGTCTAGTGGATGTAGCAAGTCAGGTAGACTCATTAGATCCTGTAAAATTTCCTTGCCTTCTTGTTCATATTCTCTTAAGTTTTTAGAGTGTATGTCAAGTTATATATTTGCAACACAATTAGCTAATACACATTTTTTCAAAATTTAAAATTTTTAGATCCTCACTTTATGGATCTACCATTGGACTCTCTCAAAATTATAAAACATTCAAAGTGTCTAATTAGTTTCAAATTTTGTATTATTTATCATTATAAATAAGGTTTGGACTCCTAATTTTAGATCCACCAATAATCATGCTCTAAGTAATCTAATAACTTTAAAGATAACACAATCCTATCAATTGTATGCTGTGTGTATATACTATAAACTATAAAGTAATTAATATCTTCGACCACAAATCCATTGCGTTATATTATATGAATATTTGTATTTAATTTTTCCCTGAAAAAGTTACAAAACCAGACACAGAAACATAACTATAGTTATTGTTTATCCGTCTTTACATAAGAACTCTAGGAAGAGATAATCTAGAGGGGAAGCCACCATTTTGGCTTTGAAAAGATTTGTCGAAGACATACTTAGTGTTAAGAGAAGAAGGATTAACTTGCATGAAAAGGTAATTACCAGCAAAGAGATCACCAAAGTGTGATTGACTCTCCTTCAACCTCTTCAATATTTTTAAAATTCCAGTTTTGACCCTATTCGCTTTCTTCCTCACAAATCCTCTAAGTCTTCGGATCTTAACTCTAACCCTAATCCTCCTTCTTCCTCCCAATGACACCACTCTCCTGAACCTGTATAACAAAAAAAAAAAAAGAAAAAGATGATTCATGAAAGTCTGACTTAGATATCAAAACACGTGTAATGAAGATGATTGTGTACACTTAGATAAAATCAAAACCTGTAAGAATAGAATGACGATCTTCTTCTTGTTGTTTCGCCGAAGACATCATCTTCTAGAGAAAGCCTCTTGTAAGGGAGATTAGTGATTTTGGGAGAGGAAGCCATGGAAAATGGATTAGATCGAATGGTGATTGTGAATAGTTTTCAAGAGATTTCTTTGAGAAATGTACTTCATCAATTATATGAGTTGTCATTGTTTCAATGTGTATGGTTGGTGGGTCGATTTATTTGAAGTAGTTAGGTGTGTGTACGTGAATTTAATGCGATACCTCAATTTAGTTAAGCATAAATTTTAATATATTCTTTTTTCAGTTTATCCCCCCTGCAATAAATAGTTTTATATATTTATATACTATATGAAAAAAGGTAAAAATGTGTGAGCATGTCACTGAAATATGTGATGAATTACACTTATAAAAAATGATGAAATATATGTTCTCTAGACGAATTGGTACCGTCATTCTATAGATTAAATCTACATTTCGAATGTGACGCCACTAATTTTTAATTTTTTAAAAATCTGAAAAATTCGGTCTAAAAACTCAATTAATACTGAAGTAATGGAACTTATTGTATTTAGCGTAAGTTGGATTAGCATGGAACTTCCATAGTTTTCATTGTTACTGAAGTACGAGGTTAGCTGGTTTGTACTGTATATAACTAACACTTTTTCGGACAGCATGTGATTTGTATAGTATAGCTAACACGGAGACTCTTTATATGGAAGAAAAAGTAGGTGTACACACATCTCTTACGATTTCTGAATTTTCTCATATAACCAATTTATATGAACAAAAAAGCATCAAAAGAAAAAAAAGACATGGACACATGATGACATGAATAACAACATTTTTACTCCAAGCAAAGAAAAAAGAAAGAAACACGTCAAAGATTTTGGAACAAGATCAAGTTAGGAAAAGTGAATTTAACGAACAAACATTTTTTTTTACACAAAGATCCGATCTTTCTCGGAGAAATTTCAGTGATTAGATCAAACTAAATTCCCAAAAGAAGTTGTAAGAAGATGAACAAGAGAGAAGGGTCGTCGATCTGGTCTACTTGTTTGTTAGTAGAGCTTTATTCTTGTATGGATTGGTGCACGGCAAATCGGACACATTTGAAGACCTGGTCCACACTCGCAACAAGTCTTGTATCAAAACAGAAGCCAAGTTAGTTTGATGTTCTGATCGATTAAGTAGAAGAAAGATGGAAATTGTGTTTGTTTGGATTTACCTGATGGCCACAACCAAAGGCCATGTCTTTCGGGTTGCTCAAACAAATCGGACATAGCTGTTCAAAAGATCCAAGAATATGAATTTCTGAACTTTTTCAAATAACGTTTCAGACTGATTTCCAAGTATCTTTCTGACTTTAGAAGTACCTGGTTATCGGAAGCAGAGTTTGTAGGGGGTGGGACGGGACTAGACCTTACGTGATAGCTTTCTTCAGTTGGATGAGGAGGAACACTCGGTTTGAAACTTGGAGGACGGAAAGGCTTTGGACTGTTGTAGGACGATGATCCACCGTGCACTGGAGGCGGAAGAGGGAATCTTTCCGGGATATTTCCATTTCTTCTTCTGCGGAAGAAGTTATAGGGCAAGAAAAAGTTGGGATCTTTGGGGTGAAGATTGAAGCCAAATTGATAAAGATTATGTTTAGGGAATTACCCTAAAAGGTTAAGCTCTATTGTCGCCTTGTATTGTTGAGGAATCTCCATGAGAGCAGAAAGGGCAAACTCTGTTTCCTTCAAGGACTGAGCTTTGTTCTTTGCCATGATCTCTGTGAAGTTCACGAACTAGAAACAGAAAATCAGATCAAAACACTAAACTTCGATGTTATTAGCTAAAAAGAAACTCACTTGGAAGTTATCAAATGCTCGAGACGGGATATTATCGTCAAATTCCCTCATCATGTCCCAAGGTCCATCCCCCACCCCGACTAAGACGATTGATAAAGGAAGCTTACTGTCATAGAGAAAATAATCATATAATAAAAACCAGCCCCAAAGAGATATAACTTCAATGGAGAAAACAACGTCAAAAGATTGGACAATATTCCAACCTCGCTTGCACGATCGCATCTACTGTCTTCTGTTCTTGCGGACTTAACCGTCCATTTTCCGTGTCAACACTTCTTGTAACCTGAAACGCTTCATTGAGGTTTCTTCTCTTCACACAAAAACAAATGATCATACTGGTATAATGGTATTATTGGTACCTGTCCATCTGCTATTATCACTAGGACATGATATTGCCCACCACTTTGCTCAACAATGGTCATGGCCATATCGATGATTGGAGCAAACGAGGTTGGCCCTGAAATTTTTTTCCAACAATTCACATTTAAGAACTTAGCTAGCATTTCAGAAAAATGCAGCCAATAATAAGAGAAAGAAATAAACCTGCGAGCTTAAGTTGAGGCACAATCTCTTTATACCGAGCAAGTACTTCCTCAAATCCATTACAGAATCTATCCTCCGAATTGAAACTGAACACGTCTTGATCATGTGTTGATGCATCTCCAAAACCATAACAGGGAATCAAGTTGTCCTCGTCAAAGGCGGCTAAGGTTCTTCCTATGATAGTTATCGCTTGTTCGTAAGGATTGGGACTACTGCCTATGAAGTGTAAGCTTTTCCTATTGAAGGACCTGGCCCCTGTTATCAACCAAGAAAAAGATGCTTTTGAGTGTGAAACCATTTGATGCATTACACCAAAGACAGAATCTTGAATCTCACCAACCTGTCCATTCGTTACTCTTAGTGAAATCAATACCAACAATGAGATTTGAAGATTCTAGACCTGCCCGTGCAAGAGCCTCGGTCACCTAAACGAAAATAGAACATAATGTGAAACTTTTCTGTCAAACGCATGAGAATCAACAGCTTTCAAATTTTGTAATCATCGAAGAAACACACTAGATTCCGCTAAAAACCAACAAGAGAGACTCAGCTCACCTGCTCCAAAGAAGAGTAATCATCAGAAATTTTCGAATACTTGCGCTCCAACCTCTTCTTATTATCACTACCATAGCTTTGAGAAGGCGGTGCAGAATAAGACTGAGTACTATATAAAGGTGGAAGAGGTTGCGTTTGTGTATACTCAGGAGGTGGAGCATATGAAGGTGGAGGAGGATAGTTATAGCTTTCTGCACCATACTGAGGATAACTTTGTTGAGAAGCCCATGAAGATGATGATGGTGATGCTGATGAAGCTGAAGCTGACCTAAACGATGACTGTCTCCAGTTTTCTTTTGAATTCCCTGTCCCCATCAAACTTAACAAAAAACTAAACCTTTCTAGATTCAAATCAAACCTCTTAAGTCAATTCAGTACCTGCAAAACAAAGAAATAGCATTTAGAGTATATTCATGAAACCCCAGAAAGAAAATGCAGAAACTTTGTTAAGATTCTGACATTAACAACTCAGTAGAAGATGCAATTACCTATACCTAATTCGTAAAAAAAGGTGAAAGCTTTATCTTTGACAGATGTTGAAATTTCTCACCGCTTATGAAATAGCTTTTAAATCGAAGGTTGGTAATGGTCTTTATATAAAGAAAGTAGATTCAATCACGTCACGTAATTTTCCACAAACCAAAACGCGATTTAGTGACTTCTAGATTAAGATAAAAGTCCAATTACGAAAACCTACTCCAACACTCTAACCCTGAATAAGTAAAACAAACAAAAACCAGTTTCTGACAAATCCACGAGCTTTCGAATTCGATATTACCCCGAATTGAACCGAAACATTCTCTGAATCATTAGACGAAAGACTAAACCCAAAATCGGAAAAAAAAAACATAAATTCGAGACTGAATCTCCCGACATTCACCAGAAAATGACCCAAATCGATTGAGAGGAAAAGTGTCTACCTTTAAACTTAACGACGCAGCGGGATGACGAATCAGAGAAGTGTTTGAGAGAGAGAGAGAGAGAGAGAGAGTCAAAGGAGCTTCAATGGCGGATCGAATCCTACAGAGTTCGCTTTTAAAGTTTCCTCCTTTTGCTCGAAAGCAATTTCACTTTCCTCTGTTTGTATTTGGTTTGTTTCTATATCATCAAATCATTAGGAGACTAATCACTTTTCTTTTTAAAAAAGTGTGAAGCACGCTAATGGTGAAAACTTCTTCTAATTTAACCCCACTTATTTTTTTTTCTCTCTTTCAACAATTGGCCCTATAAATATATTATCGATATCCAAAATCATATAATGGTATCAATTGACAATTTCTTTGAATACTTGAAATTCTTAAATTGACCATTTCTTGAAAAGTACAAATAGTAGTCAATACATTAAAAGAAACTAAATTAATATTTTTTCCAAATTTTTAATCTAGAGGATTGTATTAGTATGTAAATTATATGAATATAAAATACTTAAAGAAGAAAAACATAATCAATAATTAGATATTGCAACTCAGAAGCTTAGAAATGCATGTATCATATAAATAGGACTGCCAAACAAGAATTTTTCTTTTGTATGATTTGGGAAAATACTAATAGTATATAATGTATAATAATAATAATAATAATATTGCAATAAATTCCTTTTTTTTTTTTTTTTTTCACATTGCAATAAATTCCTTGGGGAAAAAATGGATGGTTAGCAGAAGTTTCCGGCCACGTGACAATCCTATCTTCAATATCTTTCCTTCGTCCTACGGTTAAAAATTGTCAATGTTCCTTAACGACGTCAATTTCCCATTTTCGTTACACTCTCGATAGGTTACTGTTGAATATTCCACCTTGTAAGATAAAAATATTAAAATTTTGACTTATTTAATTACCATCTTTTTTTTTAGTTGGGTCGAGAGTTCTTGTTGATAATGCTTAATTGTCTAACTAAAGTTGTCGATTGATTAACTAAAGTTGTCTTCATTTCAGTATAAAAGTTTTTTTTTGCTTCCTTCAGTGAGCAAGACACAACACGTGAAACTTAAATGGATTTACATTAAGAGCATGATTATCCATAATGTCTTAAAAATAAATCTTAGGAATATTTAAGTAATATATTTGTAAAATATGGATCTAAACTATGTTTTTGTTGCTTAGTTAAGAATCTCTCTTAACAATAATAGCTTAATTGGAATTTAATTTTAATCATTTATTTCTAAGATCCAGCTTAAAATTTTCTTAAGAACCTCCCATTAATCATGGTCTTAAAGTATTAAACTTCGTACCCGTGATTTATGCGACTATCTTTTCTTTCTTCTTGGACCGTTCCTTCAAGGAGCAAACAAGAAGTACGTGGACTCCACTTTCGTACCAAATAATTAGAAAATAAAATCAAATTAGTTACTCTATAGACTATAGTCCCTATTCTAAAAATCCCCGTCTAGACCCGATTACTCCCCGCTTAATCGCTAGGCCCACCTTATCTGCTTCGATTAATGACTAATCCCTTAAAGAAATCAATCACCCGATTACTCTCCGCCTAATCCGATTACTTTCCGCCTAATCCGATTATTCCCCGTCTAATCTTACATACTCTAATTATTTTTAGATTGCTAGTGTAAAAAAACTTTTTATTTTTGTTATTCAATCATTTGAATTGAGAGTTTGTAATGTTTTACAATAATTTATGTTCAAATTTTAATAAAAATCAAAAATTTGTAATAAAAATCATAAAAATTTGTATCAAAAATACATTTTTATGTGTTTACTGCAATTTTGAAAATAATATTGGATTAATATGTTCTTAAAAATATTAAAATAACTCTAAAACTAATCCCTGATTAATCCCCGATTTTAATCCGATTTCTGATTAATCGCTAGGCCCATGCCGAGCGCCCGACTAGCGCCTAGCAATTTTTCAAACAAGAGACTATACTGGTTCATTTATTTTTTTAAATTTTTTTTGGTTCTTTTTTTAAACCAACATGACATTAATAAAACACTCAAACTCCACATATGGAGGAGGGGAAACAGGATAGATGACAAGCTTTTGCTAAAGCGTCAGCTCCACAGTTTTCAGACCTTGGAACAAAATGAACATACATAGACAGAAATATAGAACGAAAAGATCGCAATCCGCTAATATGCTATCTAGTTCGTTTGCATGGCCATCGGTATTGGGCAGGAGAACAAGCTCCTGACAATCCGAAACACAAGCCAGCCTTGATACACCCAATAATAAAGCCGCCTTGATAGCCGCCTTGATAGCCGCCTTGAGAGCTAGTGCCTCCGCTACGAGAACAGAGGACACAAAGGGTCTTGAAAAAGATCCATGGTGGATCTTTCCGTTGAGTGGGTCTTTGAAACTCCAGCCCAACCCGCAGCAGACCATGGATTGTAACCATTCTGCATCCGAGAAGCTCAAGAACGCTTCTATCTTCTGTGATGGTGGCTGAAAAAGTTGAGACTTTATGACACAGATGTTCTCTTCCGTGAAGCCTAGTCCTGCACACAAACCCAAAGGACGCCAACGCTCCGTCTCGGTCCTGCACTATTCAAATCCATACCAAAACCAGAAACAATAATCTCCAAAGACTGTATACGAAAATGCCATCCCTTAGGAGACATTACAGCCATTCTATCAAAGTTTTGATCAAATTTGTAAACATCCTCATATTGAGGTACTTGAAACTGATGAATCCTCATACTGAGGTAATTGGGAAGTAACAGGAGGTTGTTACTAAGCCTATGCACCCCACAACAAAGGGTCACAAATACCATACCTTCCGACGTCATGTAAATGGAGAGAGCCCATGAGGGTCGGGACTGCCCGTTGAAGAGAGAGCCGGACAGAATCCTTGTACACATGCCGCTTATGACGAATCCAGCCCACGAGGTGCCTACAACATTCGGGGCACACGGGAAGGCAACATACATGTCACTTGAGGATACGCAAGGCTGAACAAAGCCCAACCAATCCCAGGAGTTCACGGCGAAAGTGAGGTAGCAGATGACGACAACAAGAGGATGGACGGAGGGGAAAAACGCAGTGGGGACAATCGATGGAGCTTGGACTCGAAACTGGTAATCTCTCAGCCAATGTAAAGGCGTCGACACAAAACTAGAATAGTGTCCTCGGCCATTCCAGATAATGTATCGAAGCAACCTAATTAATGGGCTGAGTAAAAGATTAGATATAACATACCTAGTCCAATCGAAAAGAGGAGTTGGGCCACAGCAGCTTCTGTAGTTGGGTCGAGAGAGGGAGGTTACTAGACCGCAACAATGATAAGGGCCCACCAAGCTAAACCTTAGTTTCACTTTTGGGGAACGTGTGGTGATGGGCATGTGGCAGCAGCGACGGCTTGAACGACGAGGCACAAACACGGTGATGATCGGAGGAACATGTCTCGAGGGTGGCGGAGATGGAAGTTTGTGTTCACTATGAACCCGTGGTAGACCGGTGAAGTGCGGAAGGAGCAACACCTGAGCATAAATCTCACCCGAAGAGGGGCGGATCTGAGGATCCGGTGGGTCCGGTGGTTCCGGCGGAGTTGGTGGAGACGGTGGCTCCGATGGTGGAGACGGTGGCTCCGATGGTGGAGCCGGAGGAGACCTCAGAACGAGGAAAGTAACCGAATACATCGGGAGAGGAGGAGAGGAACTCGAAATCAACAAAGAGGAGAAAATCATCTCAGGGGAAACTCGCCGGAATAGCAACGTCACCGGAGAAGGAGACCACCAGCCGAGAGATCTCGCCTAAGAAGCAACCACTGAACAGGATTGAGGATTATCGGAGGAGCAGCTCCGGTGGAAGAAGCTCATTTCGTCAATGGCTTGCGGCTATTTGGATTCTGTGTCTGGGAGAGTTTGCTAGGGCGAACGCTTCCAATTTTTTTTTATTTTTTTTTGTTAAAAACTATACTAGTTCATAAAAATCGAATCTAATGGAGTAAACTAAAATAGCAAATGTTTTTGTATGTGTGTTAATATGCAATATATGAGTGTAAATATCGGGTGTGACTAGTTCACACCAAAAAAATATATATCGGGTGACGGGTGTGACTAGTGACATCACGAAACTAACGCAAACCACTATGTATCATAAAGATTCACTAAACCTAGTAATTAATTGCTATATAAAAAAAAAAGAACCTAGTAATTAATATACTCTCTTTTGTTTGTCAACTTAATAACACTCTTTCTCATAATAGTATAGGAACATTAAAACTGAATTGAAATCAATGAAAGCTATTGACGATTCAATATCTTCTGAAATTTAATTTCTTTGACCGTTCATGAAAAGATATAAATGTTACAAGAGAGAAGGATACAAAATTAAAGATCTAAAAAACAATTATTAAGCCCAATAGACGACAAAATATATAAATATAAGCCCAATATTATGCTTTAAAGCACATGTATGCAGTATGCCCCATACAGGCCCACTAATTTTTAACCGCGTGTTTTTAGTTAAGGAGCATAGAAACAATCGTAGTCCTTGCCACATACGATCACAGCTACCAAATATTCCCTTGCACGTAAAATCCGACACTGGTCTATTTCGTCGTCTTCGACCTCGCGGGAATCTACTGTTGCTCACACTATCCACTCTTCACCGGCAGCTAGATTTCCGGGTCCTCTGTATCGGGTCAGATCTAGATCCGGATCCGGAGACGCTGAGTATGAAACACTTGAGAACTGAGCGAGTCCGTCCGACTCCGAAGCTCTTCACTTACGTTCTCGTCGGTTTCATCGCTCTACTCGGCTTGACTTGCCTCTACTACGGCTCTTCCTTCGCTCCCGGATCCAGAAAGTCCGATGAGTTCGATGGATCTAATCACCGCGTTCGCACCGGAATCGGATCCGTGAGGAATCGAGATGGTGTGCTTGCAGTGAGCCGTTTCGAAGTTCCTAAAAGTGTTCCGGTTCGTGAATCGAATCATTTGATTCTAATTGAGTAGAGATTTGTAGATATTTAGTGTTGAAGTTAAGATTTGTGTAGATTAGCTCGTTGAATTTAGGTTTCTCATGTAGTGTTTGTACTCATTTTCCATACTTTTCCTTTCGAGATTTAATTTTTACAAAATAAATATTTATCCAATTTTTTTTTTATTTCTTAAACACTCTCTAATTGTTTAAAACGCTACTGCAGGGTTACATCATTGTCCTCCACCAGAACGGCGTTTCAATTGCCTTGTTCCTCCTCCAATTGGTTATAAGGTCGGACTTCTGTTTCTATCTCTTGTATTACAGGATTTTGCTCTTGTAATGATTGATGATTTAGTTTATGGAGTTTTTCAGATCCCGTTAAGGTGGCCTGTGAGTAGAGACGAGGTGTGGAAGGCGAATATCCCCCACACACACCTTGCGCAAGAGAAATCTGATCAGAATTGGATGGTTGTTAATGGTGATAAGATCAATTTTCCTGGTGGAGGAACACATTTCCACAACGGAGCTGACAAATACATTGTTTCCCTTGCTCAGGTACAATTATCATCATTTATCCAGGGCAGAGCCGACTCTTTATAACAACTGCCCCTCTTTCGCTTGATTTTTTGTTACCAATGTTGCTTTAGTCAGTCAACGTTAATGGTAAAAGGGCAGTATGCAACATTTTTCATTGACACTATTTGACTAAGAAGTATGGAGGTTATCCATTTTTACCGAAAATTATGTGGGACATTCTGTTGCTCCTATACCAGGGAGCATAGTTCTGCAATTAATTGGCTCTGTTTTTTATTTTCAAGTTCTTCTTTCAGATGACAAAAAAAACTGCTTATTGCTTTAGATGCTGAAATTCCCTGGTGACAAACTCAACAATGGGGGAAGCATTCGGAATGTTCTTGATGTTGGTTGTGGGGTAGCTAGCTTCGGAGCCTATCTTCTTTCACATGACATCATAGCCATGTCTCTTGCTCCTAATGATGTCCACCAGAACCAGATCCAGTTTGCTCTAGAACGAGGGATTCCATCAACGCTTGGTGTTCTTGGGACTAAGCGGCTTCCATACCCAAGCAGATCATTTGAACTTGCTCACTGCTCTAGATGTCGGATAGATTGGCTTCAAAGAGATGGGATCTTGTTGCTGGAACTTGATAGGTTGCTCAGACCTGGTGGCTACTTTGTATACTCTTCGCCTGAAGCTTACGCACACGACCCAGAAAACAGAAAGATTGGGAATGCGATGCATGATCTCTTCAAGAGAATGTGTTGGAAGGTCGTGGCCAAACGAGACCAATCTGTTATATGGGGAAAACCAATATCCAATAGCTGTTATTTGAAGAGGGATCCGGGTGTCCTGCCTCCACTTTGTCCTTCTGGAGATGACCCAGATGCAACTTGGAACGTCTCAATGAAGGCTTGCATATCACCTTACTCAGTGAGTAAGTATCCGCATCTTATATCACAGACTTATATAATATCAAGCTTCACTATGTTTATTCATTCCATGTTTCTTTACGCTTACGCAGGGATGCACAAAGAAAGATGGAGTGGACTCGTTCCCTGGCCACGGAGGCTGACAGCTCCTCCACCACGTCTTGAAGAAATTGGTGTCACTCCTGAGCAATTCCGTGAAGATACGGTATTTCTTCTCTCCCTACAGCGAAAGCTCTGTTTGAGTAATCCAGAATCTGAGAACTTAAATTTCAAAACTGCCATACCTCTCTACATCCAAACACTTCGTTATTGCTCACTAAAGTGGGGTGCGAGTGTAGGAAACATGGCGGCTTAGAGTGATAGAATACTGGAAACTGCTGAAACCAATGGTGCAAAAGAACTCCATAAGAAACGTGATGGACATGAGCTCAAACCTTGGCGGTTTCGCAGCTGCTCTAAACGATAAAGATGTATGGGTAATGAATGTCATGCCCGTTCAATCCTCTCCGAGAATGAAGATCATCTACGACCGTGGCCTTATCGGAGCCACTCATGATTGGTATGTAAATGACTTGATATCGAGACATTGTGCATAATCCAATCATGTTAAATGAATTTTCTTTGCAGGTGTGAAGCCTTTGACACATACCCACGAACATTTGATCTTATCCACGCATGGAACACGTTCACAGAAACCCAAACACGTGGATGCAGCTTTGAGGATCTGCTTATTGAGATGGATCGGATACTACGCCCAGAAGGATTTGTCATAATTCGTGACACAACAGACAATATTAGCTACATCAAGAAGTATCTGACATTGTTGAAATGGGATAAATGGTCCACAGAGACAACTCCAAAAGGTGATTCTCTGTCGACCAAAGACGACAGAGTTTTGATCGCCAGAAAGAGACTTTGGAGCGTGCCCGCCAATTCAGCGTCGTGAAATCTAACAGGCAACATGCGACTCGTGAATGAATGAGATATACAGCATCAGAGAGGCATAGCTGAGGAAAATACGCAGCGTTTAGGGTTATTTACGTGTGAGCAATGGAGAAGTGTAAATTACACGACATTCATACATAGTTATGATGCATTTGTTGTAGGAAAACTTCAAAATCTTCTTATTTGCGATCTTCATGTTCCAATTTAAAAGTAAAATCTGCTTTTGCGAGAAAAATAAATTGTTTCGTGGATGTAACAACAGGTCGAATCATTGATAAGTAAATCACCATTGAATAGAAAAGAATCACTTGTCCGTTTTCCATCACCAATAATTATATCAAAATTGAGCCCACAAATTGAAATAGAGTACATAGTGAAATACAAAACAGATCAGACTTATTATGACGATGTTGTTTCGACATTCTTCTTCTTTTTCTTCTTCTTGTTCTTCTTCTTCGAAGGAAGGTCACTGGAACTGAGTTCTTCAGGTTTCCTCTTGTTGCTGCTACGAACACAGTTCATTAAACTCCTCAGTAATACGTATACTTAAACTCTACCCTAATCTAATAGTAAGAAGAACACACACCTAATTTTGCTTCAACACAGTTCTAAGTTCATTCGTTATCTATCAGTATATATCAATCTATACTAAAAATCTGATATTAAACTACTTCTCTGATTCAAACAAAAGTTGCATACTCTTTTGTCTACCTTCAACATTCACAACAACCATGACGATTACTAGAGTGTCTAAAACCTTTTTCTCCTGTAAAAAACAATTCAGATATGAAAATTTATGGTACCTGGCTTTAGTCTCATCCAAAACAATCTTGCCATCTTCATCAACTTCACCTATTACTATGGACTCTTCCATACTAATCTCTCCATCTTCATCAAATTCACCTATTTTGTAGGTTATTAACAAAGTAAGACTCCAATTTGAGATTCATAGAATGAATCCATGACACCAAAAGAAGTAGTAATGAGATATACAAGTGAACAAACCTATTGGATCTTCTTCCTCATTCATTTCCTCTTCTGAGTCTGAATCTGAGCCCCATCGGTCTCCTCCATCATCAAAGTCCCACCTCTCTCCATCTGGAGGCATCCAAAACTCAAGCTCCTCCTCAACAGCTTCATCATTTTCATGTTCGACTTCATCAGCAACATCCTCGCCATTCTTTTCCTTTTCAACTGACTTCTTGTTTTTCTTCTTCTCCTTCTTCTTATTCTTCCTCTTCTTCATCTTTTTCTTTTCTTCTTCCTTTACACCATTTTCCTCCGCCAGTGTTTCACCACCTTCCTCTGGAATAGATCCAGACTCTTTCTCTCGTTCCTTCTCCTCTATCATATAAGTAACAATCTAACCATTAAACTTGGAAAAAAAGAACTTCTTGCGCAAACAAGTTTTGCAACCTAACCAACTCTAATCAAACTTCAAAGTAAATACCTAATCTGTTGAGAAAGCGCCGTCCATTGATATGCTTCCAAATATGTTCCTCAGTCTTGTTTACCGTATCACCCGTTAGCTTACATTTCAGTTTTGAGCTGACAAGACATGCCAAAAACAAATTCAGCAAATTTCTGAAACACAAATTTCCTCAACCAATGAATTCAAAATCTAGCAGCATACACTCTCTTCAGCATTAGATTCACATAATAACATTCACTTCCTTTCTGAATTTTTTAAAAAAGATACACGAAATTTCCAACTTATACCACAACCCCACAAAAACCCTAAACCCTACTTTACATAAAATGGTAAACTTTTGAGGAAAGAAACCAAAATCCAGCAGCAGAACAACAAATCAAAAGAGAAGAACATTTCATAACTTCTCCAGTGTCTATAACCCTAATTCAATACATAATCAATCAAAATTGAAATCGAAACTTTTTAGGTGAGATTACCGAGCGTTAGGATCTTGCTCGAACAAGTTAAGAGGAGGCTTGCTGTGAGATAACGCATAATCAATAAGCCCTAAACGACAACGTTTACTCTGTGAATAGACCTTCTTGTCTTTCTCGAGTAGCTCGTGACCCGTCTGCACACATTTAAATCTCCCGTTGTCGAGTTTCTTATACTTTGGCTTCCCCAATAGGTCAGCGCCTTCCTTCGTCGTCGTTGTCATCTCTTCCTCTGTCGCCGCCATTGATGTACTATTTCTTAGCGATTTGTGTGTTTCACTGTAAGGAGAGGACTGCAAGTAGTTTACACGACTGCGACTTGCCGTTTTAGTGTAATTGAGATCAACTGCACGTCGTTTCATGTTTCTGGGATTCTTAAATTTCCTACAATCTATGGGCCTAGTGGTTATAAAATCAGCCCAATCAAAAAACAAGACGAAACATCAGAACACTCGGCACAAGACAAAACATCAAAACCACTTTTCTTTTCTTGTTTTGTCCCGTCTTAAGAAAAACCATGTTATTTAAGTGGAAAACATCAGAGAAAAATAGAAAGAAATACAAATTTCACAGCATTAAAAGTTTAGAAACATGGACCATTTTTTTGTTTTTGAAAAATTCGGTTAATTTTTTTTTTCTGAATTATCTAGTCGTAGAAAAATTGATGTTTTTTAGGTGAATTATTATTATGAATGAAAGGTACCGACAATGATAACCGTTAGCGCCTTTTCTGGGTTCCAACTAGAACCCAGCTCATGACTGTTGAACTGTGGTCCGGTCCAACTCTCAAGACACGATATCTTTCTTTCTTTCTTTCTTTTTTTTCTTTTTTCTTTTTGTTAATTCTGTAATTTTCAGAGGAAGAAAAAGCACTTTTTTTCACATACCCATTTTCAGAAAGTGGTAAGACTGTGGAGAGAGACAAGAGTGTGAAGTGCCATTAGTACCATCACTCTCGTGTTTCGTTACTCGCAATGAAGAATAATCTCGATAGAGCAAAACTTATGGTTTCTTCTGCTGTGTTTTCATGGCTTCTCTTTACAGTAACAACCGCTGTTTCAGTTCAGCCGACGTGTACTTTCCCGGCGATTTACAACTTCGGAGATTCTAACTCCGACACTGGAGGAATCTCCGCCGCTTTTGAGCCTATTAGGGATCCTTACGGTCAAGGTTTCTTCCACAGACCCGCCGGACGAGACTCCGATGGCCGTCTCACCATTGATTTCATAGGTAAGAAGCTTGCAGAGAAAAACAGAGCAATAACTAAACTTTGATTCAATGATCTCAGAAACTTTAATTGTGGTTTGCAGCTGAGCGTCTGGAGTTACCGTATTTGAGCGCATACTTAAACTCGTTAGGATCAAACTTCAGACATGGAGCAAACTTTGCGACAGGTGGTTCAACCATAAGAAGACAGAACGAAACTATCTTTCAATACGGCATTAGTCCATTCTCTCTCGATATGCAGATTGCTCAATTCGATCAATTCAAAGCAAGATCCGCACAACTGTTCTCACAAAGTCAGTTACTTTATTTCTTTTGGTAATCTTTAACTTGTCTGTGTCATGATTATTTTAACATGTCTGCTGGTTTTTCTGCCTTTAAAACAGTTAAGAGTAGATATGATAGAGAGAAGCTTCCTAGACAGGAAGAGTTTGCAAAAGCTTTGTATACTTTTGATATTGGACAGAATGATCTCTCTGTTGGGTTTCGGACAATGAGCGTCGATCAACTTAAGGCGACAATACCCGACATTGTCAGCCATTTAGCTTCTGCTGTCCGGGTGAGATTCGATGCAGTTCATGAAAGATATTTGATGCAGTTCTCTTCGCCTTAGATTCACTTCTAAATAACGGGTTTTGCAACGCTATATGATTGTTCACAGAACATATATCAGCAAGGAGGAAGAACATTTTGGGTACACAACACTGGTCCTTTCGGTTGTTTACCCGTGAACATGTTTTACATGGGCACTCCTGCACCGGGCTACTTGGACAAATCTGGCTGCGTGAAGGCTCAAAATGAAATGGCGATGGAGTTCAACAGAAAGCTCAAGGAAACAGTAATCAATCTCAGAAAAGAACTCACTCAAGCAGCCATCATATATGTTGATGTCTACACTGCGAAATATGAAATGATGAGCAATCCCAAGAAACTAGGTAACAACAAACTGGTTCATCGCAATTCAATTTGTTGTAACGTACCTAGTTTGTAGAAATTTTTAACATACACATTTCTTGTTTTTGCAGGATTTGCAAACCCGTTGAAGGTATGTTGCGGCTACCATGAGAAGTATGATCACATCTGGTGCGGGAACAAAGGGAAAGTGAACAATACCGAAATATACGGTGGCTCTTGTCCCAACCCGGCAATGGCTGTGAGCTGGGATGGAGTTCACTATACCGAAGCTGCAAACAAGCATGTGGCTGACCGTACTCTCAGTGGTTTGCTCACAGACCCTCCAGTTCCAATAATTCGAGCTTGTTATAGACAATGAGATTTAGTAGAAGAACTTGATGAACCGAAATAAAGGGTTGAGTCTTAGACTCTTAGGGCAATAATGTTAGTGTTTAAGGAACAATCAATGATCTATGTAATCCTGTGTAACCTTTTGACTTGTTTGTCGCCAAGAATCCACAATGGATGGATCTTCTATGATTATCGATGGAATTGTTTTCTTCTAGAAGTAGTTTTTAGTGATTGCTGCTTCTAACTCATTGAATTCCCAAGCATCGTTAGCAGAATATTCACCTGAACCCCAAAAAGAAAAATATCTAAAGTGAATCAAGCTTTGAATGACTTTTGAAGGAAAAAAAAATTGATAAGCTGACTTGGGAACAAACTTACCGATTGAATCTCGCCGGAGAGCAGTGAGGTGAGCACAACTGCAGCAAAAAGGAATGATAGATATATTAGTAGAAATTCCTTTTTTTTGGATCTGTTTGTAATCAAAGGAAAAAACTTTGTCTCACCTTCCAAGAGCTTTCGCAAGATCTGCACAGAGAGATCTAATGTATGTACCCTTAGAGCATATAACCCGAAATATCAGATTTTGTCTGCAAAAGAGAGACGAGAGATGTTTAGTGAGACCTAAGCAAAAACATTGTATTCAAATTGCTTATGCACTATACAGAAAATTGTTAAACCTGTCATCTAAACTGCGTTCAATGTCAAACTGGAAAATTGAAATTCTTCTTGGAGAAAGCTCTACGGTTTCTCCTCTTCTTGCCTTCTCGTACATCTTCTCGCCTCCAACCTAAACCGAAATTACAGTTACAATGCTAGAAAAGAATGATCCACGATAAGGCACTCAAGATTGAGCAATGCTCACTTTTATCGCAGAGAACATTGGTGGAACTTGCCATATTTCTCCAAGAAATGATGTCAAAGCTTTCTTAATGTCATCATCTTTTATATGCTCCCAAGGCTCTCGCTGAATCACCTGCACCAATAGTACGGTTAAATAAACTCTGATGAGTCATCTAATGTAGAATTGAACCATGAAAGCAAGGAAAGGGTCGTTGGAGTACAGGAGAGTCAGCGTCTAAAGTTGAAGTGGCTTCACCAAGACGAAAAACTCCGCTGTAACATTTGATCATACCTTGGTATCTGCAGATGCAGAGGGTTATGTTTTCTTTCTGTAAATCATCATAAGCATAAAAAGGAATTAGGAATGACAAACCTGTCAACAACCTTAGTGGCTTTACCAATGCAGACGATTAACAGACCCGTAGCCATGGGATCAAGTGTTCCAGCATGACCGACCTGAGAAATATTTATCAGCTAGCTGAAAAACTGACAAATTCAAATCTTGCACTAAACAAGGATATAAGCACAAACCTTTTTCACTTTGACTAATCGTCGTAGCTTACCACAGACAGTGAAGGAAGTCCATCCTGAGAACAATAACATAACCAAATCACATAACATTTCAAATAGCAAAAGAAACAAAAGAGTTATATACAACACAAAAATTGCTTGTCACCTTTGGGTTTGTTCACCAAAAGCACTGTACCGTTAGGACCATCCCATCTAGGAGGAAGTTCACCGTTTCTCGTAACAAGGAAAGGTTCTCCATCACCACCACCACTAGTCACACCTTTCTCACTGGGAGATTTCGTTAAATCCTTAAAGAACTGTTCCACTTTCTTCTCAGTAACAACAACATCATCCTCCGGCTTCTTCTTCTCCTTCACTTCATCAAAAAACACCAACTTGTCATCATCCTCAACACAATTCTCCATACCCATTCGTTTAACCTCATTTCTCTTCCCACCAAGTGCTGCTACTACTTTCTTCTTCCCTCTAACTTTCCCAGAATCATCATCACCCTTCTTCGAAACTTCTCCAGGTTGCAGAAACGCCTTATCCAAACACTGATCAGGATAATACTTCTTCTCTAACTGATACACCATCTTATAATGCTTATCTTTCTCCCATGGATAAGCAAAAGTATCATAGAAATACAATTCCTCTTCTCTCTGATGTAACCTATCAAATTCCACAACTTGAGGTTTCAATTCAACGAATCCTTCATCTGATTTTCTGCGGCTCTCGTCTTCAGAATCAGACCCGTATAGTCTCTTCCTTCTCTTACTGTAGTATTTCCTCTTGGCTTTATCCATTTCCGGATCTCCTGAACCGGGTCGACCCTGTTCACGCTCTAAAGCTAGTTTATTGTCGACCCATGAATCGAACTCTGGCTCTGCTGAGTCAGGTGCACCGGATTCGATTGCTTTAGGGGGTCGACGACGGGTTTGAGAGAGAGAAGACTGTGTGGGACGATTGATGATCATGTCGTATTGAAGAGGGTATCGAGTAGATGTTGTGGAAAGGAAGAGAGAAGCCAAGTAGGGTTTATGGATGTTTCTCCTTGGTTTGACTGAGGAAAAGAAGAGAGAAGAAGTCATACACATTCTTGCTGAAGAAGAAGACATTATTAGTCTTGTGAAGTGTAGAGCCTTCGCCATTTATGAGAACACTGGAGGCGGGGGAAAGATGAAATCCACCTCCGGCGATTATTGCAGTGGTTCTCCAACGGAGAAGAGATTGTGTTGTTAAACGATATATTAAAACGACACGATGTTTTCTCTTAAAGCTCAGAGACGGCACGTTGTTAATGTACCCTTAGAAGCTTCATTGTTTGATTCTTCTTAATCATTCGGCTCTTAAAAGGAGAATTAACCAAGACACTAGGTTTGGTTGTACTAGTGATACTGAAATTGCTGCGTCACTAGAATATTGCATGTTTTTAAACATGTCGTTGGCAAATTTTTGTTAAAAAAGACTAATGATTAGGGAATCGTATAAAAATAATGTCGATACATGTAAAAAAGGTAACTTATGAATGAAACTTTCATCACATGGACTAAGCTCAAGTAGTCAAGTTCAGACATTGATCTCAAGATCCTTCAAGGACCAAGTTTTTGATTCTTAGTCTAAGACTAAGAGCTCTGCTGATGTAACAAACTCATGGTTTTGATAAAGTCTTAAGATCAGAATTATTGAGGCGTGTAGGCACAAGCTTTACTGGCTCAACTATAAATCCAGATTTTCGACATTCTTCTTCGAGGAGTTTGACCTGAGATGGTCCATCGGGGCAGAAAACAACCACAGCCCCTCCGCTTCCAGTGAACTTTGCAGCTGCTCCGATCTTACGAGCCACTTCCACCATTTCTATGTTCATAGCTCCCAAACATTCATCTCCAAACATACTCCTAGAGAAAGGAAAAAAAAAAAAACAATGTTGAATTGTGTCTCCATTTTGTTTTGAGTTGTGTTATATAGACAGATGTGATTTTCTGATATGTTACCTTCGAAGATCGAAGTTACGGTTCATGAGTTCCTTGAGTTTGGAGTAATCTTTTTTAAGTAATGCAGTTCGACCTTCTTCAGCTAATTTTGCAATTTCTGCCATTGATGATATTATGAACTCATCACCATCTAACCACCTTCTACGAACCGTGCTATGTACCTACATCGAACATAAGGCAATGCTCTCAGAAAGTAATAAAATCAAAAGCAGAGTAGTGAATAGCTCTCTAACCTTGCCAGAGTCACTTGGATTCTCAGCATAGATTAGATGCAGAGGAGGAAGAAGATTGATATCCATTATAGTGTATATCCCATATCCAACTTTATCCATATGTTCTTTACTAAAATCCTGCAAAAGCCAAGAAGATCAAAACACTAGCGAAGTCGATGAAAATTTCCATGTCAAAAATAGTTGCAAAGATCATGGATCCTCACCATGTGAACAAGACCACCACCATAGACTTGAGCAACACGGTCTTGAAGACCAGCAACAATACCAAGTTCTTTCTCCGCATTGAGAATAAGGTTAGGTCGGACTTCGATTCTGATTGATTGCCTGACATTGTAGAAGTCGAGAAGGCAGCTAAGAGCAGCAGATACAATGGCACTAGAACCCGAAAGCCCCGTCTGAAAAACATCAAACTATAGGCTTCAGTTACGTATATTCATAATTTACCACAAACAGAATCAAAAGAGTTTGTAACAAACCTGTCTAGGGATATTGGTATCATAAGATAGAGTGAAGTTTTTTTCATGAAGTTGTATGCCATTATCTTTGCAATAGTTGCGGAATACTTTGCAAATCGCCATTAGCAACCTTACACCTCCGTAGTATCCATCATTTTCCAATCGATAAACCTAGAAGGAAAGACACAAATGTTAGAGCTATGAATACCATGAGAGGTTGAATCATTTCAGCTGTTTAAAAAATCCAAATGTTAGGGCCAAATATAGAACTTGCTTAACAATGATCAATGAAAGACAAAACACATACTTTGCTTAACAATTAAGAGAAACAATTAAATGTAGAGAAGAAACAAATAATTTCTCAGATCATTTGGGAACAGAGCACATACGAGATTGTCGAGAGAATCGAACTGGACAAGATCATGGAATGGATGAGGTTTGATCAAAAGATGATCGGATGGTTCGAGCTTAGCCCAAGCCCAGAAATTACCAATGGTAAATGAAATCGTACGACCGAAGTAAACGTCGCTAGGGTTTCCCAGAAACCCGATTCTAGCGAACGAACGATGCTCGAACACGGCCTTATCATTGCCTGAAATCGCCGGTTTCGGATTCGGATCCATAGTAGGTATCAAATTTTTGAACCTCAAATGTTCAGTGCAGTTTCTTAAGACACTTTTGCGTACGTATTAATAGCTGATTTTAAAACTTATCTCCAAAACCCGTGGGTCCCGCTAAATGCGTAACCGGATGACATTTACACGTCAGTCAGGTCTGGTGTCTGTTTTTTGTGACGTCAGGTCTGATGTCTGTTCAGTAACAGACAAGGTAGTTTCTATAATTTGAGACTCTCGTTGACCAAAAGTAACAACAAAATAATTAGTTGGGCCTTATCTAAATAGATTATTGGGCCCTTTGAACAAATGGGTGGGTCTTTACGACGAAATTTAAATGCTGTGTAAGCTGGACCAAACTGAAATTTTCAGATTAGGTAAAAATTAGCCAATTAGTCCTTTAACCAAATCTTCGATCTAAACCAGTGACCTGAATACCAAAAAATTACACAACCCCAAGAGAGATTAGAAATATCATACATATACTACATATTTCTGATATCTATATCTTAATTATGATTCAAAACACTCGTAGTTAAGATTCAAACACTCTCAGTTTATTTCAAAAATGTTGCATTCATTGTAAAAACGTTATTTTTTCGTTGAATATAATTTAATATTACATAAAAAAAAATGATTCAAAACATGTTGGAAAAAAAAGAACAAAAGTTGGATGATTTCCCAACCAATTGGCTCTAACTCAACATGAGAGTTATAATAATAAGCAAGCACAACAGACAAAAAAAAATTGAAAAACCTTTAAAGGGACAAAACAGGTTATTACAAAATTGGTGGGTGTGATCGTTAGCAAAATAAAACTGATGAACCGGGTTTCACTCCTCGTGGACGCGTGTTTATAAATTATGGTCGATCGATATATATAGATATAGATACGTATGATTTTACTATATGAAGAGCGTTGGAGATTTAATCTAACTTGTTGGGTCAACAAACACTCTATTCGAGTTCAGGGTCCAGGGTTGTTGGATCCACAGTTCTTTTTGTTTTTAACCCTAACAATGTTTTTGGATATTTCCTTTTCCTCCATGATACATATTTAATAGATTAATAATAAGTACGGTATTTGCTGAGAAGTTTCATGTAATCTTCTTCCTTTTCATTCTTCTTCCTCAATATTTATATATCACGCAATTCATTTATTTGGGTTGACAATTTTTTGGGTTGAGAGAAACAGGAAACAAACAATAACACGTTGTATTTAATATAGTCAAATATCCTAAGGAGATATAATCAAATTTCAATGCATAATCATCTAGTTTCCAATACTTTTATATCAAATAGTTAAGCCTTAACAACCTTTTAATTTTTCAAAAATAAAAATAAATAGTAAACCATAACTAGTATCATGCACAATGTATTTTGTATTAGTCTTGTTGTTATATCACAACTCGCTAAACGCGCGTATTATTCGTGTTGTTGAAAGAACAAAATCTACATAGTTGAGAAATAGCATAAATTTATCTATTTCTATGGTAAAAAGGATTAGAAAATGTAAAGAGAGATAAGATACAAAAGTCCATGTATGTAAGTAGTTGCAAAAGTGAACGATGGTCCTCCTTATATCATTCAAGCTTTCATTTTACAAATAAACTTATTTATATTTGAATTACTTGGAAATTCAACTAAGCACATAATTTATTTGAAAATAAACCTTTTAACAAAAGAAGGGTTTGAAAATAATAGAACTAACTAAAGAATAGGTCAAAGAAGTTCGCGTTACCATACTGCCTGGTCGTTGCGTATGGTGGACATTGGACAATACATCATTTCGTGAAACTCACGAACTCAAGTCTAATGCTTTGGGTTACATAGTGAGACCGATTCCGGAGGTTTCAACTTGAGCATGCTTATTAATTTAATCAAAAGAGTTACTATAACAAAATTGGTGGAATAAGTATGTGTATAACCTTGATCATTGTTTCTATTGGTAAGACACATGCATGTTATATAATTCTAAAAAGGTATGATAAAAATTAGAAAAATAGAAGAAGCTTATATTCAACTAAAAAAGCTATTGAATGATTGATTTTTTAAGTGTATATTATAAGATGATGAAATCGCATGAGAAAATCGTAATTTTAAAAAATTGTCAGATTGGTATGACATGCAAAACATTATGTGAGCAATCAAAAGTTATATCCTAGAACAACTAAATTTATTTTTGTCAAGTTTAGGTTACCTATTCACTTAAAATCTTTCTTTTTAAAATTATGTCAACACCTATTAGTTAATTAAGAGGGAATTTGATCATAGAATAGTTTAACCTTTATATACGATCAAGTTTTGAAAATCGTAATATCTTTTAGTAAAAGTGTTTAATAGATTTGAGTTTTAATTAAAGAAAAAGAATTAGGATAATACTACTCGGTCACTTGGAACCCTTGTTTGAAAAATCGCTAGGCGCTAGTCGGGCGCTCGGCATGGGCCTAGCGATTAATCGGATAATCGGATTAAAATCGGGGATTAATCGGGGATTAGTTTTAGGGTTATTTTAATATTTTTAAAACATATTAATCTAATATTATTTTTAAAATTGCAGTAAACACATAAAAATGTATTTTTGAGACAAATATTTATGATTTTTATTAAAATATGAACATAAATTATTGTAAAACATTACAAACTCCCAATTCAAATGATTGAATAACAAAAATAAAAAGTTTTTTTATACTGGCAATCTAAAAATAATCGGGGTATGTAAGATTAGGCGGGGAATAATTGGATTAGGCGGGGAATAATCGGATTAGGCGGAGAGTAATCGGGTGACTGATTTCTTTAAGGGATTAGTCATTAATCGAGGCGGATAGGGTGGGCCTAGCGATTAAGCGGGGAGTAATCGGGTCTAGGCGGGGATTTTTAGAACAGGGCTTGGAACACGTAATATCTTGACTAGCTAGAGAATAGCGAAGACGAATAGACCCAGTTCAAATTACTATTTATAATTGTTTGACATTGCAAGTAATCATATAAAATATCTTTTTCAAAAAAAAAAAAGTAATCATATAAAATAAAATAAATTCCTAACATAATTGGAAATCAAATTGCTACTAATTAATTAATATATTAGAAAAGAGGCTTTATTTATATAATATTAAGAAAACTAAAGATTCTATATTGCCGGGAGCATGATATTGACTTGCAAGAATAGGAAGACGAAGACCAAATTCACAAATAATTTTTATTTTCTATATAGGCCAAGTAGTATATAATACTAGTTATTATCACCAGAAAAAAATAAAAAAGCAAACCAATATTTTTGTTTTCCGATATATCCCAAGTAGTAGATTTATCAACAGAAAAGGAGTATGATAATTGGAAGGAAAAACGCTTGATAATTTTACCTAAACTTTTTTTTTATATATAAATCTAAATGTCCAAACTTATCACCTCAATGATTATATCTGATTGAATATTGACTGTATATTCATTTGGATTTAGGCTTATTTAATCAAAGATTTAATAAATGTTAAAAAATAAAATAAAATACTTGGATAGGACTGAAATTCTTTCCAGGTATAACCTACCAATTGTATAGGGCAATAGATTTATAAAATTTAATTTTCCTCCTGCATATAAAAGTTTAATACTAGTATTTTTTATTATTCCAATATGTGTTGGCAAATAGCTTTATTGACAGATCAGCAAGGTAAAAAAACATTTGACCGTAGGATCAAAATCCAGACCCACTTATAGTAACATCCGAGGGATGCAGATTTTTTCTCTTCCTTTTTCCCTTTTAATAATATTATCATTTACTTTTGTTAAAAGGTAATAACACTTTCTCCTTAATTAACTGTCAATAAAATTAATTAATTCCAGCAGTTTTGGGAATATATATATAAACCAAAAAAGCATCAAACGGCTATAATTGGCGTTACAGTTTTCTTAAGAGGAGAAGGATTAGATTAAACAGAGATTTTTTCGGATATTTATTCTCTCAGACTTCTCTGTTTTTTTTTTCTTCTTTAATTAAATTGTTTCGTGTTTTTTGTTTCGAGTTTCTTCATAAAGTTTTGATTTTTGTCGGGCTTCGATTTTCGGGGTCCGAGAGATTCTTCTTCTTATTCGCGAAAATTTCCCCCGAGAAAACTCTTCTGGGTAAAACCATGTCCGATGGATACTATAGTTCTAAGAAGACAGACGATATCTGCGATGATGTTTGTGGACAGGTGAGTTCTGTCTCTGGTTTCCGCAAATTTGCTCTAATTTCTTATCGATTTCGCAATGAATCGAATTTTTGGGTTTTGTTTCGCATTAAGGAAAAAATCGAGATTCTGATACCTTTGAAATTGGATGAGAATTGGTTGTAATGTTTTTCTTTTTTTTTCCGATTTCTAATTGTTTGATGCTTGTTATAGGGTTTGTGTTCTTCATCTTATGTTATTGTCGGAATTTAAGAATTGAGAGAACGATTAGATGATGTCTCGCGGTTGTTTTTTGTTGTCTGAATATTTGAAGCAAATTTCATGAACAATTTAAGGTTTTGTTTCACTGGGATTTTGGATGGAATTTGGTATAATTTGGTTTAGGGTTTCGTTCTTCGTATGCACACTATACAATCTCTGTAGCGTTAGAAGGATTGTGTGCTATTTGGAATCCAATTTCAGATTTTTCAGAAGGGACATTAACTGCTGCTGTTGTGTGAAATTTTCTGAGTTTTTGGTTTTTGCTTTGCAGGATGGTTCTCGAGCATCCAAGGCCTTCTCAAGGGTTAGATGTGTGCTACGAGGACTTGATTTCAAGACATATATCTTCCTCTTCACCATTGTGCCTATTTTCATCTTTGGAGTCTATTTGCATGGTCAGAAGCTCACATATTTCTTGAGACCGCTTTGGGAATCTCCACCCAAGCCGTTTCAAACGCTTCCTCATTACTACCATGAGAACGCCTCCATGGCAACACTCTGCAGTCTTCACGGCTGGAAACACCGCGAATCTCCCAGAAGGGTCTTTGATGCTGTCTTGTTCAGCAATGAAGTTGATATGCTTACTATCCGGTGGAAAGAGCTTTATCCTTACATTACACAGTTTGTAATTCTTGAATCAAACTCGACTTTCACTGGTTTGCCTAAACCGTTAGTTTTCAATGGGAATCGGGGGAAGTTCGAGTTTGTTGAGCCGAGGCTGTCTTATGGGAACATTGCAGGAAGATTCAAGAAAGGCGAAAACCCGTTTGTCGAAGAAGCTTACCAGAGGATTGCATTGGATCAGCTGATCAGACTCGCGGGTATAGAAGAAGATGATCTGTTGATAATGTCTGATGTTGATGAGATTCCTAGCGCTCATACCATCAATCTGCTTAGATGGTGCGACGGATACCCTCCGATTCTTCATCTTCAGTTGAAAAACTACTTATACTCATTCGAGTATTTCGTTGACAACAAAAGCTGGAGAGCTTCCATTCATCAATACAAGCCCGGGAAGACCAGATACGCTCATTTCCGTCAAGGCAACACTCTTTTAGCAGATTCGGGTTGGCATTGCAGTTTCTGTTTCAGGCACATCAGCGAGTTTATATTCAAGATGAAAGCGTACAGTCACAATGATAGGGTCAGATTCTCTCATTATCTAAATCCAAAAAGAATCCAAGATGTGATCTGTAAAGGAACTGATCTGTTCGACATGCTTCCAGAAGAGTATACATTCAGGGAAATCATCGGGAAACTAGGTCCAATCCCGCGGTCTTATTCCGCAGTTCATCTCCCAGCTCATCTGATAGAAAAAGCTGAGAGTTACAAATACTTGTTACCTGGGAACTGCATAAGGGAAAGTGGCTGATAAGGGTTTGTACTTATCAGCCTTTGTAGTGTTAGGTAATTTGGTTGGGGGAAAACGGCTTATTATCAGTAGAGGGAGTGTGAAACAGAGAATGGTACAGTTTCTTGGGACTCGAGGAAGAGTGATCTGATAAGTGGAGTCTCTGGTTTCAGCATTACCCCTCTTGAGGGTATATAACCTTAGCTTGCTTATAATCTCATACTGACCCATGTTCCCATGTTGTTTTGGGAAGTTTTGCTGGAATAGTCTCTTTCTGTCTCCTTCTTTCTCTTTCTCTTTTTACTTTCAAACTATTTTCATCATACTCTCGCTTTTAGTCTGTACAATTTAGTGATTTCTTTACATTATTATCCTCTGAGATTCTTTGTAATTTTTATTTATTTTATTATTCCGCTTTCTAAATTCCGTTTCATCAAATTATCACTTTCATTGAAGCTTAATGCCTAATACATCCACTACCAGATCCTCCATCGCAGCTTTCTCTACCTATCATTGACTCACTTCAAGATTCTAGAAACAATATTACAAGGTCCCACGACGGTATCAACGATGTGGAGGCAGTAAAACGTAAATCATTGGAGATTTGAAGCCACTGAAACTGTATTGTCTACGTAAGCAACATAACCGCTATAGTAAACTACAACAACAACAACAACAACAACAACAACAAAGAAAGTTCGGAAATGGTATGAATTGCGAAGAACTAAAACCAAATGGCTTCAGATCTCCAGTGATTATATATTAATATCAGTTGATACTTGATACAATAGAAATATTAGTATAGTACATATTTGACTATAAATACATTTTTTTGTAAGTTTATGGTATGCAATTTTATGCTTAATTTTAAGAGAATATAATTCTTTTTGTATTTGTGATTGGTTGCGCCAGCATTGCGAACATCTGAAATTCTGAATACAGACCCATCAACGTTTTGGTGAACTTCTGGGTGTGATTGGTTGGGCTGTAAATACCTTTTACAACCATAATTTTTTTGTAAAAACCAAATTGTTGCCAATCACGCTGTAGATTTATTTTCTAAAGTTACAGCCCAAAAAAATAATATCTTTTTGTTTTGACTGTAGATCTTAAATTTTTTACAACTTAATATATTTTGTTTTTAAGTGCTGTAGGTTTTTTTTTTTTTAATTTCTCTTCTAATTTTTTATTTTCTCATGTAAATGAATATATACTAATAATATAAATACCATGTATAGTCTCGTTTGTTATATATACTTTATATATATATATATATATTCAACGAAAAAACTTATATATGTATATTCTTTTCAATTAATATGTAGTTATTATATGTATACCATATAAAATATTTTATACATTTATATAAATGATTCATATGTTTATATAGATTCCATTTAACCTGTATGCATAAATTTGTGTTGTTGTTTATTATATAATTGCTATTAAATAATTTTATTAACTATAATATAATTTTAGGAAATGTAATTTATAAATACAAATTCAAATATGAACTAATCATAATTTTTAATTACAACTAATAATTTACTGTCAAAATTCGATATTTCTAAAATCTACAGTTACAACAAAAAAGGTACAACCAAAAATCTACAACTATAGCTTACATACTTAAAGACAAAATTCTACAGCAAATAATCTATAGCTAAAGTCTAACCAATCACCCACCTATTCAGGGGAAAAAGGCCTTTTTCAATCTGAACAATTTCTAAAGTGCATTTTTCAACCCGAACAACCGATCATTGCTAATTTATACTCCAACGCTTAAAATTTTTAAATTACCTATCTCAACTCTTATTTTAGTGCGTAATTACGAGTCAACGTTAATGGAAATTAGTCAACTGTGACGGTTTCTGAATCCAATGACACATATTGGTCGAGGTGACATGTTTTTTAAACAAAACAATATCCTTTTGCGTTTAAGAATTCAAATTTTTTTATAAAAATACAAAACCGGAGACTCGAATACGCAACCTCTGATTAAATGAGACTAAGATGAGATCGTGTGTTCGAGTCTCTGGTTTTGCATTTTTTAAAAAAAAATTGAATCTTTAAACTTAAAACTACGTCATTTTGTTTAAAAAACATGCCACCTCGACCAATATGTGTCATCTGATTCAGAAACTGTCACAGTTGACTAATTTCCGTTAATGTTGTGGTGTTTCAATGAGAAACTGTGTTAACTTCCTTTGTTTCAAGAACCGGACGGAATACAATTTGAGAGTTTCTACGAAAAACTTTTTCACATAATTTTCAGAGTTAATTCAATTGGCACTATAAGGAAATTAATTCCAATTTTAGAGTTTCTAGGGAAATCTACCATGGTTTATTTTCTTGCAACATTTAATTGAAATGAAGCGTGTATCTATTTTGAATAGTTAATTTTGGTTCTGAAATTAGATTTTGTAATTGAACCGTCCTAAACCGCTTGGTTCGTTGATGCAATCCAATGATTCAAATTTCAAAGTATTGACTGTTATGCCTTTATTTTTTTTTGGTATGATTTTTTTGTTTCCTTTTTTTCAGCCGTATTGTTTCCTTTTAACTAGACGGCAATTGTGTATATATATAAACACATAAAAAATAGAAGACACAATCCCTTGGGTAATCATCAATCAATGAAGGGAAGATGTGCGATTCGGCGATGTAGTAGTAGTCAATTGGAATTGAAGACGAAGAAGAATGAGACGAAGGTGTGGTCGGTGCCAGATGATGTGTTTGTGCACTGCGTGGCTCCTCACTTGTCTCGATTGGACCTCGTGGCCTTATCGATGGTCACCAGGAGATACCGGTTTGTCGCAGTCCTCCATGAAATCAGGGCCTTGAGGTCTATGAGGAGCGTCGATTTATATATGCACAAGTATCCAGACCCAAGCCCACGGTGGTTCGTTCTCCACCCCGTGCAACGTCGGCTGAAACCGGTGAATCCAGCCCCGGTAGCAGGATCCTGTTTCGTGGAGACGGGTTGGGGGATCTATACTATCGGTGGACTCATGAATGGCAAACCCACATCGGAAGTCACGTTTTTTGATTGTACCGATCACCAAGTGTGCCGCGTTGCGCCCATGAAGATAGCTCGAAGCGGAGAATCGGCATGCTTGATAGACAGGCAGAAGATATACGTGTTTGGAGGGTGCTGGGATGATGTCGCCGCTGATTCCTCTAACTGGGTAGAGGTATATGATATCGAAACCGGAACTTAGGAGTTGTTGTCTGTGTTTACGCCGAAGATGCCCCTCAAAATCCAACAAAGTGTGGTGATGTTCCAGGAGCATGTTTACGCGGTGGATGAGGATGGTCAACTCTTTATTTTCCCAACAAGTGAATGGAAGTTTAAGGCGGACGGAGGAACAGAGTCTAACCCAGAAAATAGAAACGATTGGCTTTTCGCTGATCATACACTTTTCTGCCGTGGTCTCGGCGGGAAAATACTGTGGCGTTTTCCACCTGAGTTGGATTGGAAGGAAGTCAAGGGCTTTCGTGTGCCCAGATTTCCATGGAGAGACGCCCGGAAGGCGGGGTATTGGAGCTTTGGGGGAACATTGAGTGGTCCGGTGCTGTCCTCTCAGACTCATCATATACTGGCCTTAACTTGTTATTTGCTGGTTCTTTCTATGCCTGAATATTCTCAATCCTTGTGCTTACATTGTGTTGAGTCACTGTTGCTTGATATTAATAAAGTGTGGGATACATTGCCTCCCCAAAAAAACCCAGAAAGCGCTTTACTCTTGTGCTCAGGGAATCAAGTGTATTTTCGCTTTGAACATAACATAGAAGAATAGATTGCAACATGTTATTGATTTTTGCATCATCGACACAAGTGACTATTTGGGTTTTTCTCATCTTCATTGTATTAGATTCCTTTTCATTGACAGGAATATAATCTTAGATACTATCTATATCTATCTATATATGCTCTCAATTTTTTGTTTCCGGGGTATTCAGAATGATGAATGATTAATTACTATTTGTCCTTGCATCGTCATAATACAATTTTGAGTGAGGATCCTCTGTGCATGGTTTTGTATGTTTTGCCTTGATGGAAGCTCGGAGTTACTAGTTTGAAAACATCATGTTAGATTCCGTTGTTCATCTCCCAGCTCGTCTGATCGAAAAAAGCTGAGAGTTACAAATACTTGTTACCTGGGAACTGCATAAGGGAATGTGGCTGATTAGGGTTTGTGCTTATCAGTCTTTGTACTGTTAGGAAATTTTAGGGAAACGGCTTATCAGTAGAGGGAGTGTCCAACAGAGAACGGTACGTACTTCTTGGGGACTCGAGGAAGAGCGAATTGATAAGTGGAGTCTCTGGTTTCAGCATTATCTCTCTTGAGGGTATATAACCTTGTACTGACCCATGTTTCAATGTTGTTTTGGGAAGTTTTGCTGGAATAGTCTCTCTCTTTCTCCATGTATTATCTCTTTCTCTTTTACTTCAAACTCTTTTCTTTTAGTCTGGTGATTTCTTTACATTATTAGCCTCTGAGATTCTTTGTAATCTTTATTTATTCCGCTTTCTGAATTCCGTTTCATCAAAATCATCACTTTCATTGAAGCCTAAGGCCTAATACCTCCACCAGATCCTCCATTGCAGTTTTCTCCACCTATCGTTTGACTTCAAGATTCAAGAAACAATATTACAAGTCCTATGAGAGTATCAACGATTTGGAGGTGTGAAAACGTAAATTTTAGTAACTAAAAGAAAAACCATTGGAGATCTGAAGCCATTGAAATTATATTGTCTACGTAAAGCAACATAACCCCTATAGTAAACTACTACAACAACAACAAACAGAGGTTAAGTGATTTTCCAAGGATTCTGAAAAAATAACAAATTACATGGCGTCTCCGATGACAGAAACAGAAGCAAATGTCTGGCTACTTTAATCTATTTACATTCCTGTTTCTGCCTTTGTTTTTATTCTTCTTCTCTGGATTTTCTTGTCGTCTATCTTGGAAAATGCAAGAAAAGAAACTTCTTGTCCTTAGCTTCAAAACCATCCCAACCAATTCAATAAGCTGTCCTCAGAAGCCAACTGCAAAATCAACAAAAGATATTAGTTTAAAGTTTCTCAATGATACTAAATATAACAGTGTTTTTTCTTTTTAAAGTTCTCACGGAAAAGAAATCAGGGAGAGTCCCTAAATCTGCATTCTCCAAATCTGTCATTGAAAAGTTTCCAGATCCGATGTCAGCATTTCCATAATTAAGGTTCTTTTCCACAAGGGACGACGAAGCTTCAATTTTCTTGGAAACCAAGTTATCTTCAATCACACTCAAATTCCCTGCCACTTGAGCTCCTCTGTCTGATGTTGAACCATAAGAAGCTTCTTGAATGTTATCCTGTCCCTGATTTTAGCATAAAACATATAAACTATAAGGCACGAAAAACGTCAATGATACTTGCAGAGAAAGGAACTAACCTCGGCAAATGTATCATGAACCATCTTAGTATCATCATAAGCTATGTCATCCTCATCAACAGAAATCACAGGTTTAGCTTGTGTAGGAGTAGTAGTTTTCGGTGTGGTTGGGCCACCTCGAGCCCCAGAACTCTCACTCTCATCCATAGTTTTCTCCCATTGCTTTGGTTGCTGATATGTGATCTTAGAGACAACATATTCCCCAATCTCGCCTTCTTCTGTTCCCAAGTGGTACTGGTGCAAAACCCAGTTAGATTTCTCAGGTTTGAATCCCTTCCTCGCGCTCTTATAGAGCACCATGATCTTCTTGCATCCCTTCTGGACTCCATTGACGATCACCGGTTTGGTTTGACCAGTCTTGTGCCAGCGAACCGATTCATCCTTGAGACTAGTTGGTGTGATCCTTCTCCTCTTTCTCAGACCATTTTGATATGCATGTGCCGTCTTGTTAAAGAAGAAGACACTAGTTCCATCCTTATTCACACCTACAAACATTTTAATGAGTGATTGATTACTCACTTAACATCTTGAAACATCAAATTAACGGAAGATTTTTCTTATTTTTACCTGGAAGGTTTTGAGGGTGAGTGTAGTTGATACCAACATCTTGAGTGACTGAACATATAAAGTCTTGGATAAGAAGATGTGGTTTTAAGCCATCAATACCACACTTAGCTTCCAAATGCTCGATCACTTCCTCATCGGTTGGCTCGAATTTCACACCTTTAGGAAGGCCTGGCCATGGAGTCAGTAACTGAGAAAAAAAAATAAGAAAAATCCTATCTCAGTATTCACATAAACAAGGCCATAAGCTCTCAGTTACATGTGTTTAAAATTGTTTCTTTACATTTCTGTTGTCGACGCGGTAATAGCAGTTAGGGCAGTTGATATAAGCTTCACAATCTTTAATCTGCAGAGCTGAAGACACAGACGCATTCTTTACATTCCTTGCGATCCATGGACCATCCACAATCCAAGTCCTGTGTAAAGTTTTCATAGGTTTAGTGTCAATAGCAAAGCCATATATGAAAACGGAGAAACATGTTTGTGGTGCAAGATTCAAGTATTTCTTGTCAAAACGGACAAAGATTTCAAGAATCATTAATTAGAAGTTTCTCTAGATTCTTAGGCTATGAATGACAATAGTCCTTAAACGAGTTTTAAGTTTTTGGTGCTTTTTTTTGCTATAGATTCTAGTTCTTGATGAGTTATTTAGATTCTGGTTTCTAACTAACTATATCTTTTAGAAAACTTGGCTTCTGAGATATATTTGCATACAAAAGAAAAAAAAAATGTTGTAAACAGAAAATGATTTTATGGGTAAATGTAGATGGATAATATTTGTATTTACAAAAAAAAATATCTGATAGAAAAAGAAAGCCGAGGAAAAAAAAATTCTAATAATAGGGGTTTTTATTGGTTAAAACCAGTGTTCAAGAAAGCGCTAGGCGCTAAGCGGGCGGTGACCCAATGCCTAGCGCCTAGAACGCCTAATCGGGCCTAGGCGATTTTTAGGCGGTTTAGACGTTTATAACATAAAATATTATAAATATAATATTATATATAAAAGTTATATAAAATATCTATATAAAACTAAAAATTATGAAATTATAAACAAAAATTAGATAAAACATTTATTTATATTTATATTAAATAATATATGAATATTTATAACTATATATATAAATAAAACTCTAATTAATATTGAAATAATACATTAAACAAGATCTGTGTAATTTTAGGCGGTCAAGACGGTTATCTAGGCGTCGCATAAGAGCCTAGAGCCTAGTCGGGGCCTAGGCGACCGCCTAGACCGCTTTTTAGAACACTGGTTAAAACTTTAAAACAGTCAACAACTAATGTTTCTAATATTTAATGAAAATAATTTAAAAGGATGAAAAATATCAATAATTCCCAAAATAGAAGAAAAATAGCTGAAATTTCGCATTTCTTTATTCATAACCCCGCATAAAAAAAACCTCAAGTCTTGTCGAGACTTTGGAACAAAGATGATTCATTGGAATCGGCTTAGGGTTTATAAAGTGAAATCGAATAAACAAAATCTGGGCTCTGACAGATCTTGACATTGGTTTATGGTTTTCAAGCTTACCTCTCCATGACCTATACGAAGACAAAGGAAACGACCGGTGAGAAGAGAGAGAGAAAACGTTCTCCACTAGGGTAAGTAATATGGACCGAATTGAACATAGAGAAATAAAGGTCGAGACTTTGGAGAGAGAACAAGTATATACGTGTGTGTTGATGAGCGGGAAATAGAGGTTCGTTTACTTCCGAACCTAAGCTTCGAGTAAAGCTTCTCAAGAACACAACTAGCTGACGTTAGGCTCGGAGGATGTATCTTAGTGTTGACTTAGCTTGACTAGACTTTGGTCCGGACACGAACCTGAGATATGTAAGGTTCTTTTTCAATGCCGAAGCAGTGGAGAGCTTCGGAATTCGAGCCTAAATGGGACTTCGTAAATAAGTGGTTTTTGTAGGACCAGGCATACCTTGATCACCAAGCCAGATGAAAAACTTATTTTAATCTTTAGTTTTTACCCCTTTTGTTGTTGTTTCACTGATTAGAAAAGTACTAGTTTTTCTCTTTTTTATACCAAAAAAAAAAGTAGTTTATTTCAGGAAATGACCGTGACTGTTTATATAAATAGTAAAATGAATGTTGTTTTAATTGAATGACAGCTAACTGTCTGAATGTGAAATATCCCATAGTGTAGCCATGTAGTAAAAGATATAAATCTGTTGTTTTTATTGAATGACAGCTAATTGTCTATCCCTCTATGGCGTGTAGCTATTTAAATATTTATACATAAGAAATTTAACAAAAAAAGTCGTTGTAGTATAGTGGTAAGTATTCCCGCCTATCACCCGGGTGACCCGGGTTCGATCCCCGGCAACGGCGTTTTTTATTTTAACCTTATTTAATATTTTCCGTGGGTTTTGTTAGAAGATTAAGAATCCGCAAGCCTTCTAATTCTTAGGCCCATATCGTTTTGGGGAATCCCTTTTCTTAATCAATACAAATGTGCCTAAATATATTCTTGCTATGTTGTCGTTTCTGAAGAATATAATCGTCAATTTATGTGTATAAAATATGATTTGAGTGACTGGCGGCGAGTTTGATCGCTAGAAAATCGGATGCAAAGAAGAGTTGTTGACCGTCACAACTCAGAAGACAAAATGTTCATACAGAAGACGATTCAATAATATAAGACTCATGTTTCCGGCCGGGTGAACCATACATATCAATGAGTCGCTGACCGCCACACAGAAGGCAACGTTACAAAATACTACATTTGCCAATCTTTCTGTGTGTCGGTCAGAAACTCAGAAAGAGCAATAGCTCCAAACAAATCATATCATATCAGATTTGTTTGGGCATCAATCGCTTTATCCATGAAGACGATCAAAATATTAGAGTATAAGACTGATGATGTTTCCAAGTATGATATCAGTAATCCCCATAAAGAACCTTACGTGGATCGAGCTGACCGCTGCAGTAGCTTGAGGAGACGATAGAGAGTTCTTGTCTCCCTCTCCACTCTTCATGTGGCTTCAACACAATTGGGGTTTCTATAGCACCAGAATCTACACACAGCATTGTTGTGTAATCCTCATCTCCCATATCTGCAATACTTTTGGCCTTCTTATCCCAAGGGTTCCACACAACTGCTCAATACCAAAGATACCATGAACACATAAGGAACACACAGCTTCACATTTTTTTGCGATTGGATCAAGGGGAAAAACAAATCCTAACGCACCTGCATTTGGCATGCCTTCCTTTCGCAACTCGATAGTTCTTTTTCTCTCATGATCTATGATGGCAATCTTTGTCGGCGTGTTCAAGTACACTTTATCAACCTACAGGGTTTACTGACGATACATTAGATTCTGTTTGTAGAGAGAAGTTTAAGGGAAAAACAAAAGGCATGCGTTTGCGTCACATTACCTCGCCGTCAAAGGTAATTGCATCTGCCTGCTCCGTGAATCTTTCTCTACGCATCAAGTTGTCCAGATAATCAAGTGTCTCCAGACCCTCAACCCGAACTTCACTGCAAATTTGATGCCATGTGATGCTACTTAGACAAAAGGTTTTCTGAAGGAAACTTTGATCTGAGAGCGGGTAAGAAGCAACCCGGGACAAGAAGAATAACTTTGATCCTGATAACTATTTAAATGAGCCCAGAAATAAACGAGGAAAGGCGACATAAGGATACCTTATGTCGGATACATATAAGTAGTTACGAAGTGAAAACATAAAGGAGAATGCCTTTAGGTCAGTGTTCCTCACACGCGGGATGATAGTAAGTTTTCCAGGACTGATAGATATGCGAACACGAAGTTCAAAGCTGCAACAAAGTAGGCAGAGAAAATTAAGTCAAGAGAAGATGACATCGAAATGGACTAAGAGAGATATCAACTGTACACACCTATGAGGCCATATCTTCAAATCATCTTCAGTAGACTTCAATACTAAATCAACAGTTGATTGCTGGTTAGCCGGAGGCAGAGGTGCAGGATCATTATCAAATGACCAGAATCTGTTACGAGCAAATCCATGTCGCTCAAGTGCACCAAAATTTCCAAACTTCAAAGATGACAAAACATGGTTGATGGCGGCAGAGGAAAAAATTAGTCAGTCGGTGTAACTTAAAATGATCTGAAAGATTTCTGACCTGTGGAAAGCAGATAGGTAACCCTCCCCTAATCGCCTTAGGTGGTTTCAATTGCGCCTAAATGAACATAATGAAGACAAAACATTGTTAGTGGAAGTTGAAAAATCTTCATTGGTCAGAAGTTCCATACTCAACAAGTCATATTTCTACTCTAAAAGCACAATTTACAAATGATCTGACACATGCTGCAAAAAAAAAAAAGCTAGCTAAGAAAAGAAATGGATAGATCATTCATCTCTATCAACATGTAAGAGTTAACCTTGCTGCTCATATAAAGCAACTGCTCTCTCCTTTCATTTCTCCAAGAAACCACTTGTCCTCCATACAAAAGCACCTGAAACAATTCCCAGCACAAAAAAAAAAATGTAACTTGACAACCTCTTACAAAGTTTTCGAGAAAAATAGCACATGCCATGCCATCAAGCTAAACCCTTTCTAATCCAAACAACAAAAGTAGTGAAAACACCAACATTTAAGCTCAAAGTAGTAATCACTGAGAGACTCAAACATCAAATCTTCTCAAAGTCCATAATGGTATGAGCAAAATCCAATTTTTCGCACGGGGAAATTTCAGAAGACCCAAAAATCGAATATGAAGAAGAGAAGAGAGGAAGGAGTAAAACCTCAGCAGTTGATCCAGCAGGGTCGGTCAAAAGAATGCGAGAAGAACCATCACGATCATTGACTACATTCAAAGGCATCGATTTAGGCCTTAACCTCGATCTTATTCCCCTCACGAATGGGTTCACTTTCCCTTTCTTCCACTCCAGCTACACCCACCCAGATGCATGCATTATTTATTTACGAATTATTAGAGATTAAAAAAAGTAAATCATGATTCGTAACAAAGGAGGAATATAAAATTGGGAACACGAATTCGAGAATAAAAAATAAAATCAGCGATATATATAAGTGGGGAAATCGAGAAGGATTATAAGAAATGAAGAGACTGATAGATAGAGATAAGTGGATTAGATTCAGCTAGAGTTTCATAGATTAACACTGGAAATTTTCTACGAATTTCAAACGGAGATTAACCAAAAAAAAAAGAAGCACGGTGATCGGCTGAAATTTCAACAACCACCACTGAACTAGAACGCGACTGGGGAGAGAGAAAATGGATAGCGAGAGTGATACGAAGAAATAAGAGAGAAAGAGACTGTTGATGATGTTTGTAGAAAATGCTGACCTTGATTGATCGAATTTGGCTTTTGATTCTTTCTCAGAGATTTGGGTTTTTGAGTCGGGAGCTTGAAGATGATGAAGATGATGAAGATGAAGAAGAAGAAGGCCTTCTTGTGCGCATTTGTAGTTGTTCTCTGCATCAGCATAAGCGTAGATACTGCCACGTGTGCATCTGTTAAACAAATAATTTTGTTATCAAAACCAACATTTTTATTTACTTACTTACCCTCGCATTTATGCATTTTTCTCCTACACTCTGTATTTTACTATTTCTTAAAAAATACTCTCTTTTTTTTTTACAAAAGAAGATTTTTTTTTTGGTGGAATTTTTACATAAGAAGATGTATAAAAGATTTTCTTACTTTTGAAACATTATGCATTTTATTTTATTTTTAAAATTAATTAGATAGTAAATTATTTTTATAATATAGAAAAATACAATTTTTACTTGTTGTTTTAGCTAAACCATCTCGTAAGCAATAGGTAGTCATTTTTTCTTGAAAAATATAAAAAGATAAATTAATTTTCTGTTTAGAGAAGGTATAAAAACAAAGTAGAAGATATAGTAAATATCTTCCAATAATATAACCAGTAAAAATATACCTAAATATATGATCATATATTTTTGATTTAATGAGAATTTCATCACTTTCCTTATTTGGTGTTTACTTTTTGGCATTTGATGTATTTTTGTTGGTATATTTTTATTTGGTACCACTTAAAAAGACTCGATTTACCCATTACCTCCGCTATAAAAAGATGTACATGGTCAGTGCAAACATATGACCAATTTGCAGAACCTGACCCAAGCTACCAAATGTCTTAGACCCTAGTCATTTACCCGCTTGATAGATTGACACATATCTTCAATTTTGTTTTGATAATTGTAAGCATAGCATATGAGTAGTCCAAAGCATAAAATCGGTGGCGATGGCTTCGAAATTTCGTCGTCGTTGATCTTCGAGAAAATGACTGACGGACTTAACGCAGCTTTTAGTTAAAAACTCAGACATGAAGTTATGAACAGTTGGATATGGAAACAAACAATAGTAAATTTAATTAATAGTTATGACTATGATTAACCAAAATTAAATCCGACTAATCACATAACGACAATACTAACAAAAAGTATTAAACAAAATCTAACTATTTAGATTTATAAAAAAAAAAATTGAAAAGAAAATATTTATATGTTCAAAGAAATTAATCTAATTTTTTTGTGCTAATGGAATAGAACGACAACATCGTTTTGGTATCACACAAATTCACCATTTTTTCTTAAAAAGTTCTTACTGAAGTGAAATTAATAGAATTAAGGATATAATGTTCATTATTTAGGGACAATTATTAAAATATACCAAAAATTATAGTAAAATTAAAAAAATATACCAAATCTTTTAGAATTAAAAAACTAAAAACTAGTTTTTTTTTCAATGAAAAGTCAAGAAACTCCTTGTTAAATTTGAAGAAGTGTTTTTTTTTTTAATTCAACTACAATAATAAAAACTGGGAGTTTTTTTTTTAACTCTCTATCATCGTCAAAACGCAAATAAAAAAAATAAAAATAACAAAGAAAATAAAATTCCTCGATCATCGTCATAAACTGTTTTTGCTATCTCTCTCTCACATTTTACTCTCTCTAGCAATCTTCATAATCCCCCTTAAATCTCAGTTCCTTTCATGAACCCTAACTTTCGCCATTCACTTTCTCATCCCAAAAATTGTAAATGGTATATGCACTTAAATATGAGAGATGGCTCAGCATCTACCATTTAACCAGCCCCGGCTCAATATATTTGGGAGCCTTGGGGCAAATTTTTTTTTTTTTGGCCTATTATTATATATAAAGAGAAAATTTACTTAATTTTAAAAAATTTTGCGGCTTTTTTTGTAGTAAAAATTGTTATTTTAAAAATTTTGGACCTTTTTATACATTTTCTTATAAATAATTAGGCCTCTTGAAATATAATTATCATATTAATAATATTTTTAAAAAATATTTGGACCTTTTTTATATGTAAATTTTTTTTCAAAAAAAAGCCCCGGGCCGTCGCACCTCCGGCCTACCCATCTAAGCCGGGGCTGCATTTAAGACATCTCTCGTGTTCTTCATTGGCCTCTTAACAAACCCCACACATCATTTGCATTTTTAAGGTTCTGTTTTATTAATACTATGATCTTATTTTAATGTTCTTACTATAACGTAGTCCACTACTCCATTCCTTATAAGTAATACAAATAAAAAGCAAAACAAAAATCCAAGAATTTTTTTAGAAGTCGTGAATTCTCTGGCCTTCTTCTACTTGACAATATCTTATCTCTCTGAATTCAACGATATCACACATTATATCTGTTGGGGTCGGATTCCATCCATCTTCTAGGACCGAGCCAAACTTCAAGCATCCAGAATAAACCTGTTCACTAGCTCGGAGCGCCCTCCTAGACAGCTCGGGATAAACCCTTTAATAGGCTCGGGTACCATACTGACCAGATTGGGTACCATTTCTGCCGGCTCGGATATCTTGCCTTCCGGCTCGGACACCCTGCCGACCAGATCAGGATCTCGCTGACTGGCTCGGATACCCGAACCGATCAAGCGGACGCCCGAGCCCTTCGACGACCGAGCAGATCTAGGAGACGCCCGAGCCCGCTTGGCGACCGAGCCCGATCAGACGTACCCGAACTCGGTCGGCATCGGAACGTCCGAGCCCATTCTTGGTTCGGGTACCCGAGCCAATTTTCCTCCGGGTACCCGAGCCCTCTAAAAACTTCGGTTCGGGTGATGTGTCACGCTGCTTTCCCGAAGCTGAATATACCAAGAAGCTTCCAGATTACCCGAGGCGAAGTCATCAGTTGCATGAAGCAAGGACTTAGTAAATTTATATGAAAACTTGATATTTAACTGTATTGAAATACTTTATTAAACAAATATACTTAAGATCTAAATAATAACTGGGTAATGAGACAAACAACTCTACGTAATGAGAAACTATCAAACAACTCTACCAAACAACTCTCAACAACTCAAATATACATGAAACTAATGAGAAATTACTAAGAATTTGAGAAAAAAAAAAGAACGAGAAAACTAAGAATTTTCTCATTCCTACGAGACAACTTTTCTCATTACTACGAGACAACTTTTCTCATAAACTTTACCCAATAATTCTACCAAACTAGATCTACGTAACAGTTTGCAAAAACAGTTTTTCAAAAAACTTTACCAAACAAATATATATTAAACTCTACATAATAATTGTGCAAAACTATCTATATTATACTCTACTAAATAACTTTCAAAGAACTTTAGCAAAGACTGCATCTTTAAATAACTTTGCAAGAGATTTATGTACATAAACGTTCTAAAGTATATGAAACTTTGCCAAATACTGACTTCTCTGTAGAGTTGACAAATCGTTTTTTTAATGGAGTTTGGTTTGATAAACACTTATATATACGTGGTGTTCAAAAAAAAAAAACATGTATATATACGTAACTAACAACATAGTTCACATAGGTTTAGGGAATTAATTTAGAGTTATATTATTAAAAAAATTTTCTAGATTAGTTTGGCATATTTTTCAGATTTTATCTTCAAATTTTATCATAACCAATAAAAAAATAAAAATTCAAAAAAAATCTGTAACTAACGTGGGTTATATAGAATTATAAATGTGGCTTTAATTTGTTTTTATGTTAAATCATATAATTAGATAAATATAAGGATACTTTTGTCGTTTGTTAGTCTACTTCTTAAATTCTAAAAGATATGGTCTAGATTAATAATTTTGGTTTGTTTTTAGATTTTTTTCATAATTTTCCCTATTTACTATGAGTCTTGCATTTATATGATGAATACTAATTCTTTGATTATTGTGTTATTTTGTGAACCATTTATGGGAACTATAGTAAAGAAACGAAGAGAAAGACAAACAAATTGTAAGCATAAAGATTAAATTGGTCGCCAAATTGTTAGATAAACTTTCTTAATTACAAAATAATAGATTGATCGAATATTATAAACATGTGAAATGCAGTTCATTTAGAACAAAAGCATTAATTAAAAACCAGTATTATTTGAACAGTGACGTCTAATTTAATTCATATATTAATAAGATAAGCAAAACAATATAAGAACATCATTCAATTCAGGATTAAAAAATCCAAACAGGTATCAAAAAAAAAAAAACGAGAAAATTTGTACAACATTCAATAATATTCGTCGATCATAACATATATGTTCATCTTAATGTGTTTACCAATCATTTTTCTTTTGTTAAAGGATCTTCATAATTATTATTTTCTTCAGAATTATCTACCAATCATTTTATCCATGTAACGTTGTTATACTCTAACAAAAACAATATTCCTTTCCTTTTCTGACGTTTATATTCCATTCCAAAATTAATAAAGAGAAGTGAACTACATATATTTAATAATAGCTTTAACGTCGCTCCATATATTTAACACAAAATACGTTATAAGTGTCATTTTCTAAATCAAATTCGAGCTCTACTAGAAATAAGAAAACATATTGATCAAATTGGTTACCAATAGCCTTATAGCCAGATCATGAAAGACAGAATTGTATGAAGTCTTTTAACCAAAAAAGAGAGGTTTGTGAAGTTTAAAAATTTGGGGTTTTTTTAGAAAACTATATTATATTCATACGCATCGATATCATAATTTCCAAATTTAAATAGACAATTAAAAGAGCATGCAGTGGATCAATTTTAGTACCAATGGCCAATGGGTATATGGATTGGCTTTAGATTTACGCTACATTACGTTAAAGGAGAACATCGAATCAACATTAAACTAACAAGTAATCTTTATATTTAATCTAGATATGATGCTAAATTGAATGTACATAAGCGATGGATTCACATTACATTAAAATATTAGCCATTCAATATGCAATGAAATGGTGGGGGCTGGAAAATGCATTTCTTTCTTTCTTTTTTGCTTAAATTATAAAGAATATCTTATCACAAACTGGTAAATTAAAAAGCAAAGTGACTACAATAAAGCTAATCGAAAGAGTAGATGCCCACTCAAGACATAGGTAGATTTTTGGAAGAAAAAATTACGTGACTCGTTTTACAGATAGATTAATTAGCAAACCAATAATAAGTATCATTACCACTAGGTTTTAAAGGCTTATGACGAAGCTTAGCTGTTTTGCACTCTGAATTACATTTTGGTGCGCATATAGGC